GGAGCGGTGCCTATTTATCTACTTGCACTTTGACGTGCTTTCGAACTGCTAGGTTGGCAGGAGCAGGGACCAAGCAACGGGAGCTCACCCCGTCCCGGGGATTCGAACCGCCGACCTTCTGATCGGCAAGTCCTAGGCTCTGTGGTTTAACCCACAGCGCCACCCATGTCCCATCAAAGACTAAGGCTTACCTAATGCCTCAACTGCCAAAGTTTGCTAGGAGGCAGGCAAAACCAAAGACAGAGCCAATTAGTCGAGCAGACAAATTCCTACAAAGACCTACATTGGTTCCCAGTACGTTTCCGAGCACAATTCAAAGTGTTGATGCTGACCTTTAAAGCCCTAAATGGCCTTGGCCCAGTATTCCTGAAGAGCGTCTCCACCACCATCGTTCAGCCCAGACACTGAGGTTCAGCTCCGAGGGCCTTCTGGTGGTTCCCTCACGGCGAGAAATGAAGTGACAGGGAACCAGGCAGAGGGCCTTCTCGCTAGTGGTGCCCACCCTGTGGAACGCCCTCCCATCAGTTGTCAAGGAAATAAACAACTCTTTGACTTTTGGAAGACATCTGAAGGCAGCCCTGTTTAGGGACGTTTTTAATGTTTGATGTCTTATCCCTTTTTATTGTTGGGAGCCGCCCTGAGTGGCTGGGGAAACCCAGCCAGATGTGCGGGGTATAAATTATTATTATTATTCAGGAGAAGTATGCATTGTGTGTGAGGCTTCAGAAGACAATCTAGAGGAGGTCAGCCCCAAAGCTTTCAGCTCTGATCTGGGGCCTGGCAGCTACAGTTTGGTGATCTCTCACTCCCTCTCTTGTGTATCTTTGGTAAGGTTGAAAGTAGCAGCACTTTTACAGTTGCGTGATATTGTTGTAAACAGAACCTGCCCTTACGTATCCATAGATACTATTCCAGCTGCTGGTGCAAATCTGCATTCCCCCAGTCTCAGGATTGCCAAAGTGTTTCAAGGAGGAAGTCTCAAATTCCTACCCACTGGCTCTCATGCGACATCCTGTTTTAGACTTAACTGGCTGGCACTACACATTCCACAAACTGGGGCTGATTCAAGTATGTGAAGGGGAAACTCTTGTTATTCCTGCAGCCATCCCATGTGTATTTTGGCTTTCTGAAGTGCTGGTCTCTATGACGAGGTAAACATCAGGCTCCAAGCTTAAGTGATGAGAGGGGGAAATGGTCTATTTACAGACTTTCCTGGTAAGTAATATCTTTAGACTATGCCCACCAGATTCCATCTTTACATATGTTGTGGAAATATTCTAGCACATTTTATGCATGTGTGACTATAGAAAGCCTTTTTATGGTTAGTCTTGTTGGATTTTCACCTTTTTTCAGTAGAGCCTGCCGAGGCTCCTGGAAGTCAGCGAGAAACAATCCTTGAAAACGAAAGCCGAGAGCAAGAACTGGCCAGCTCTAGCAAGAGGAATAAATTGCTGACTCACTGACAACACTCATTGTGTGAGCTGCTGTTATTACACACTGTTTTTTGTGGACGGTAGAAACCTAGAAGCAAGGAGATATAACCCAGCCAGTTTCCTTATAGACAGCATTTTTAAGATCATGGGCTGAACAGCTCTTGAACATTGTTCAGTCCGTAAACTGCTGCAGAATAAAATAATTCAGTGTCCTTGATTTTAATGCTGAAGTAGTAGAGGACAAATGCCATTCCTGCAAAAGGATATCTATTCAAAGCGCTGGTTTTTACTTACAAAGCCTTAAACGGCTCAGGACCATGATGTCTCTCCCCATATGAACCAACGCAAACCCTTCAATCACCACTCTGAGGTCTTTCTTTGTGTGCCTCCTCCACAAGTGATCCGAAGGGTGGCAACACAAGAATGGGCCTTTTCTGCAACTTCATTACACATCATTGGGCATCAGGCAAAAACCTTCCTCTAAGGTTGCCATATGTCCTCTTTCCAGGATACTTCCTCTTTTTAATGGGTATGTAAAATCAGAGCCATCAAAGAGATCCCTAGTTAAAAGTAAAAGGTAAAGGTAAAGGGAGCCCTGACCATTAGGTCCGGTCGTGGACGACTCTGGGGTTGCGGCGCTCACCTCACTTTACTGGCTGAGGGAGCTGGCGTACAGCTTCAGGGTCATGTGGCCAGCATGACTAAGCCGCTTCTCGTGAACCAGAGCAACACACGGAAACACCATTTACCTTCCTGCCGGAGCGGTACCTATTTATCTACTTGCACTTTGACGTGCTTTCGAACTGCTAGGTGGGCAGGAGCAGGGACCGAGCAACGGGAGCTCACCCCGTCACAGGGATTCGAACCGCCGGCCTTCTGCTCAGCAAGTCCTAGGCTCTGTGGTTTAAACCACAGCGTCACCAGCGTCCCTATCCAGTTAAAATTAGAACTCAGCAAATGTGTCTTCTTTCTTGCTCTTCAAAATATGGCAACCCTACTATAACCAGGCCTTTGACCTTTAACTATCTGTGGCATTTTCAATAAAGAACCACTCTGAAGTTTCCACACAAGGTAGGGGAATTAGGAGGAATATGGTGAACTTGTAAGTTAACATATGAACAACCTTCACCCTTAAGATGCTTTTCAAGACCTTCTCATTTCTGTTATTCCAGATCTGGAAACAGGCGAGGAGAGGCAGAAATGAGTTGGCAGTGGATTATCTACTGACACTATCTGTTGAACTTATTTTACCGGTACATAGGAAACTAGCTGTCTATGCTCTTGCAACTGTGGTGGGGCAGAGCTCTATTGCAAATGAATATGAAGACTAAAGCTCTCAGGCTAAGATGATGAAGTAGGCATTATAAGCTCAGAGGTCAGGCAGTTTTTTGTGATACTGATTTGCATTCTCCTTGTTTTTATTCTCTTGAGATGCCCACTCGAGTGTGATGAATGTTAATTGTATGCACCACAACGTTTCTGTGAGAAAGGCCACTTGTGATGGAGTCAGACTGGTTATCTCTTGAAAAATATTCCTCCCGAGTGATGCTCAAAAGCATTGCAGTGTGTTTCCTGAGCCTGGGTAGAGCTAGAAGATTTACAAACGGAGCCAGGTAAGTTTGCATATATCAAAGCTATGGTTTTCCCAGTACTGATGTATGGAAGTGAGAGCTGGACCATACAGAAGGCTGATCGCCGAAGAATGGATGCTTTTGAATTATGGTGCTGTAGGAGACTCTTGAGAGTCCCATGGACTGCAGGAAGATCAAACCTATCCATTCTGAAGGAAATCAGCCCTGAGTGCTCACTGGAAGGACAGATCCTGAAGCTGAGGCTCCAAGACTTTGGCCACCTCATGAGAAGGCTCCCTGGAAAAGACCCTGATGTTGGGAAAGATGGAGGGCACAAGGAGAAGGGGACGACAGAGGACTAGATGGTTGGACAGTGTTCTTGAAGCTACCACCATGAGTTTGACCAAACTGCAGGAGGCAGTGGAAGACAGAAGTGCCTGGCATGCTCTGGTCCATGGGGTCACGAAGAGTCGGACACAACTAAATGACTAAACAACAAAAGGGTTCCTCCTACTTAACCGTATTTGTGCTTTCTTAAAAGCCTCAGTTTGTGCTCTCCTGCAAAGCATTAGGGAAACATGGTGCAAGACTGCAAACAATGGTAGAAAGGAAACGCTTGTCGCATGCCTCCCCTTCATGGAAGTGAGTCTGTAGCCAGCTGTGCTGGCTTAGACCAAGGGGCATTGTAGTCCAAAACATCTGGAAGGCACCATGTTGGGGAAGGCTGACGTTGCATTTTGTCATATATTTACTGACCAAAAAACCCCACCAAAACAAACCTGGTAGAAGGGGGATTCAAGGCAGAGTAAGACACCTGTATACCCCTGGTTTCAATTTAATTGAAGCATGTCACCAGTTCGTCTCCATGCCATCCACAAATATAAAAGCATCGCCACAGAAAAGCAACTTCCAGGCGGCTGCCAGTAACAGATTAATCACTGCTGAAAGTGGTCATTGCAACCTCTCACAATGCAGTCTTAAAACTGATTAGGAAGTCCCTAAACCCCACTGGAATTTGTGGGATTTAATACAAAGTCAAGGATTTGGACTGAAGTGTTAAAGGCTCAGAATTTGGAGGCAAGGCTTCTGTGGAAATAACGGAAACTATTTGCCTGTTAATCTACTCAAAAGTCTCTCATCCCCACACACTTTGGCAAGGCCTCTTTTGCAACGGCCTGCTTCCCTACCTATCAACGTAGTCTCTTTTCTGTGAATTATCAAGTTCCGGCTCACTGTTCCCTAGTGTTCAGAAACAGAAGGAGAACTGGTACAGTGGTACCTCGGGTTACAAACTTAATTTGTTCCAGAGGTATGTTCTTAAGCTGAAACCGTTCTTAACATGAGTCGTGCTTTCGCTAATGGGGCCTCCTGCTGCGGCCATGCCGCCGGCACACGACTTCCGCTCGCATCCTGAGGCAAAGTTCACAACTAGGGGCATCTACTTCTGGGTTAGCGGAACTCATTACCCGAGGCATTCATAAGGAGGACGGTACATAACCCAAGGTTCCACCGTACAGCATTTTGGCCCGGGCATGGGTTAGAAAGCCCCTGGTTCTAAGTTCTCATCTGCTGCAAAAGCCTCTCAAGCAAACTCCTCTCTCTGAGCAGCTGCTCCCTGCAATATGTGGATAATACTGACCTCTCACCTAACAGAATTGTTCAAAGTGTTTGATGCTTCCTCAGCAAATCTTTCAAGTGTCTGAAATGCAACTCAGCTGCACAGCATAGATACCTGAGAGCCGATACAGTGGTACCTCTGGTTGTGAACGGGATCCGTTCCGGAGGCCCGTTTGCAACATGAAAAGAGCGCAACCTGCATTGGTGCGTCTGCACACGTGCAGGTTATGACTTGCCGCTTCTGCGCATGACGTCATTTCGCGCTTCTGCGCATGCACGAGCGGCAAAACCCAGAAGTAACCCTTTTCAGTACTTCCGGGTTGCCGCAGGACGTAACCTGAAAGAACGTAACATAAGGTATGACTGTACTGCAAATAACCAGCAAAACATGCTTTCTTATGCATAGGCTTTATTGATTTGAAGTCTGACAGCCAGTTACACCGGGCTGAGATCTCCTTGGGAAACATGCTGAAATAGCAGCAGGCAGTACCACTCTTCTCTGCGACTGGATCTTCCTTCCACAGTACTGCAGAAAGAACGAGGCAAGCTCAGGCTAGTCATGCTTATCGCTGGGCACTTTCAGAACCTGACTTGCGCGCGGAAGTGCATCTGCTTTGTAGCATTATTCTGCATGCTGGTCTTCAGCATCCACTTGGCCTTCATCCTCTGAAGGTACTGCATGTCACGCTCACGAGCCAGTGCTGCTCCTGAAGTTATGGAGAAAGAACCAACATTCAAGGTGAAAGGTAAAGGACCCCTGGACGGTTAAGTCCAGTCAAAGGCGACTATGGGGTTGCGGTGCTCATCTTGCTTTCAGGCAGACAGCTTTCCGGGTCATGTGGCCAGCATGACTAAACCGCTTCTGGTGCAACGGGACACTGTGGCGGAAGTTAGAGTGCACAGATACACTGTTTACCTTTCTGCCGCAGCGGTACCCATTTATCTACTTGCACTGGCGTGCTTTCAAAGTGCTAGGTTGCCAGGAGCCGGAACAGAGCAATGGGAGCTCACTCCGTCATGGGGATTCGAACCGCTGACCTTCTGATCGGCAAGCCCAAGGGGCTCAGTGGTTTAAACCACAGTGCCATCCAACTGCACCTTCCAACATTCAACACTCAACCTGAAGGCAAAGCAACTTTTACGATGAATAGAAGCACCCAGTCCTACAATGATGTCTGCACAGGTCTAGCGGTTTCCTACATAAAATGCAGTTGATGTTGGGAGATGTGTTGAATTTGGGCCCAGGAAGCATGCCTAAATTTGGCAACCAGTTAAATCTAGCCCAGCATTCTGTTTCTAAAAGCAGTTATCCAGAAACCTCTAAAAATTCCCAAAGAATAAATAGATGCATACATATACATAGATGCATACATATACATACATATACACACACACACACACACACACACACACACACACACACAAAACACAACTGGGTGCAGAGGGAAGTAACAGAATGCCTAGCCCAGGCATGTCCAAAGTCCGTTTCGAGGGCAGTCAATTTCCTGGGGTAAAACTTTAATCCTCAACAACTTTGGGGTAAAATTGTATAGCAGTTTATTTCCTGGGGTAAAATCCCACCAAAAGCTCAACAACTTCAATCCTAAAAAAAGTTCAATATCTTTGGCTGGCCCTCACCATAGCTGTCAACCGTCCCTTATTTGGCGGGAAAGTCCCTTATCCCAGCGCTGTGTCCTGCTGCTGTCCCTTATTAATGATGTCCCTTAAATTTCCTGGGTTTCAAAGGAAGCAGCTCCTCTCCGTCCCTCCCTGCCGGCCAGGGAGGAAGGAGGCTCCAACTGTGTTGCTTGGCTGCGTTGCTCACCCAATAAGGAGTCTAAGAATGACTTGGGGGTGGAGCTTGCATGCCTTGTGCCGATCAAATCGGCCGCGTTGCCTGGGGACTCGCCTTTGCTCAGCGCTTCTCAGCGGAGAGTTGACGGTGGTTTTCCTTGCTGCATCCCCTTTGCCGGGTTGCTGCGCTGTGGGAACCACCGCTTGAGGCTTCGTTTGGCTGCTGGCTGGGCTTTCTGCCTTTGGCTTGGAGGGGCTCAGAAGTTGAACATACCTGTGCTTGGAAAATCCCTTATTATGGCTGCTGATCCCTTATTCTCGAGGCTGCTGGTCCCTTATTTTCAAATCTGTAAGTTGACAGCTATGGCCCTCACACATGTTCACTTCATCAAATCTGGCCCTCTTTGAAAAAAGCTCTAGACAGATGCTACATACATGGAATTAAGAGACACCAGCTCTTCTAAAAGGTATACCAACTAGTTCAGAATAGCAGGCAGCTACTATAATTGGCGACTTCCAGGAAAATGTCCCTTCTTATGGCTGAAAGAGATGCCTCTCAAGGACAATGGCTAGTAACTGTATGGATATAACACCCTAATGCTGTTTGCTTACCTGTGCTGCTTGTCCATCCCAGAGCTTTATATTGCTGCAATACTCTGCCCACAGCATGTTTATTTTTAGAAACAGCCACAGCTCTTGAGGAACCAAACCGCTGCTTATAGTATCTCATCAATGAACGGTGACCGATCCGGGCACCTTTGTAAGAAGGAAATGTGAATATTAAAGCAACAGAGTAGCTTTTAAAACAAAGGTAAACTGGAAAGTGGGGATATCATTTGCCACACCGTGAAACTCAGAATCCCATAAGGAAGTGGGGATCCGTGAAACCATTGACATAACAAAAACTACCATAGAGATATCAACGTTTTCAAAAGTAGTGGGTCCATGGCTTGGCTTCTGAAAAACAGGGAGTCCATAGTACTTAGCTAACTGGGAACCACTGCCATAAGGGAGGGTAGACAATGCCATTTAGGGTAGAAGTAACTGTAAATAACATATTATGTAAAGAACACGTAGAGATTTCTTTCATACCTTTCCAATTTGCAAGATCTGCAAGGGGCAGCTTACTATACCAAACAAGACTAAATGATGTACAGTGGTACTTCAGTTTTTGAACGCAATCCATTCCGGAAGACCGTTCCGGGTTCCGAAACGTTCAAAAGCCTCAATATGGAAGCCATGTGGCATGTTCAACTTCCGAGGCTTGTTCAGAAAGTTAAGCTTTTACTTCAGGGTTTACGGCGTTTGAAAACTGAAACATTCGTCAACGGAGACATTTGAAAACTGAGGTACCACTGTAAAATCCAGGTAAGAAGAACTCAACATGGGATACGGCAGACCCTGGTTGTCTATAATACTTACTTAGGCACAAGGCAAACCTGAACATCTCTAGCACCAACAAACTATGGGTGTATAGAAAACACCCAATTCCACAGAAAGACCTATCTTTTATTTCCTTAAATCAGGGATGGGTGAGGAGACCTACAATCCAGCCACCGGCTGTTCAGCATGGAGAAGGTAAAACGGGTTTTTGATGATGTGTAAAGCATGCAATTGCAGCTCCTTCCTCTGCAAACGGTTCTGCTGCGAGAATATCATGGTAGAGAGGGAAATGTCTGAGCAGGGAGAGACAGACTTGTACTCCTTGCAAATATGCAAAACATTATCCATGTATTTTGTAGCTGCATGCCTGCATGAAAGTTTTAGGATACAAATGTTTAGTAGTAGTAGTAATAATAATAATAATAATAATAATAATAATAATATTTTTTATTATTTATACCCCACTCATCTGGCTGGGTTTCCCCAGACACTCTGGGCACCTTACAGCACATAAACAATTGCAAAATATTAGACAAAGCTTGCAGTTCTGCTTATAATCTGCATTCTTCTGCGGGTTTTGCAAAGTCTTTCGCTTTCTGCATAGGCAGGATAGATTTTTAGAAAAAAAGTCTCAACACCCTTTTACACAGCTTGGAAAAAACTATCCACAGAGAAAATGGACAGCGAAGCTCAAGGGCAGTTACTAAAAATTAAATATATGCCTCTATTTCCATAGGAAACAGCTGTGTGTGTGTTTAATGATTGCGCGTGGCCTCACCCACTATTGGAATGCAGCCCCCGACAGATTTCCACTGGGATAACATGACCCCCCCTTGTTCCCAAAACAGTTCCCAACAATGCTAAGAATGTGGTTCTCACTTCATTATGAGAACTTCAGAATTTCATCCCATTGCAGTGAGTTGCGATGGCTCTTCAGAACTTCACTAAGGATTTCACACATTTGAGGGTGGGGAGTTGAACACCCCTTTCTTTACGTACTGCCATAGCAGACTAGGTAAAGGTCAAGGGACCCCTGACCATCAGGTCCAGTCGTGACCGACTCTGGGGTTGCGGCGCTCATCTCGCTTTACTGGCCGAGGGAGCCGGCGTACAGCTTCCGGGTCATGTGGCCAGCATGACTAAGCCGCTTCTGGCGAACCAGAGCAGCGCACGGAAACGCAGTTTACCTTCCCGCCGGAGCGGTACCTATTTATCTACTTGCACTTTGACGTGCTTTTGAACTGGTAGGTTGGCAGGAGCAGGGACCGAGCAATGGGAGCTCACCCCGTTGCGGGGATTCGAACCGCCGACCTTCTGATCGGCAAGTCCTAGGCTCTGTGGTTTAACCCACAGCGCCCCCTTTCTTTACGTACTGCCATAGCAGACTACATGCAACAAATAGGGGAAATGGCTAATCAAGACTCTTTCCCTCTCTCTTAGGCTTTTCTTCTCTTCAGTTTTGGTTAAGTGATGCTCTATCAGGGTGGATAAAAATCAATGATTTTTTTCAAAAAAAATATGGATTTTAAAAAAATTAAATTGGATTTTTTTTATTTAAATTGTTTTTTTTAAAAAAATATTTTGGAGGAAAAATATTTCTAAAGATAGTTTTCTATTTAAGTTACCTTATAGTCCAAAGGCTAGTCATCAGGAAAAAAGAATTTCATGTGTGCTAAAACTCAGTCTAAGTGGGGGTTTTTATTTAAAAAAATGTTTAACCACATCAGTTAACAAACATGGATCCATTTGCTATAATGTTATTGTTTTAGTTAAATAAACTGTTTAAATTATTATTAACGAAATGATTATTTTTCTCCTTCCAATAAAGTACAGCAGAAAAGTTGTCCAAATATAAACAGCTAACTTACTAAACCTCACAAAAATTCCATGATCATCGGTCTATGTATTTCTAATAGTATAACCAAATCAGTAATTTTTGATACAACTGTAAAAAAAATATTCTTCCAAAAATGAAACCTTCATCTGGTTGTAAATATTAAGATTATACCAGCAAGAATGAATCTTTCTGTAAAAAAATGATTTAAATCAATTTGATTTAAATCAAATCCACCCTGTGCTCTAATGTATTTTCAATGCCACTTCTTCATGTTGCTCTGTTTACTAGTTATCATTTTTGTAAAACCCTAGCAGCAAAATTAAGAGCTAACGCCTTGCAAGAACTAAAACTGTATTCGCTGAATCGGCCACAGCATTAGAAACATAGCCCTCAACAGTAATGCTTGGTCAAAATTCTCCCCTGGCAAATTATTCTTAACAGAGCATATAGTTCAGAGCTACCCCAAAGCAAAAAGAGCACAAGATCATCATGGATATGTGTGTCTGTGTATCTGGGGAGGTGAAAGAACACAAAGAACTAACTGGCTGAAACAAGAAGAGGGGAGCTTTGAAAACAGTTTAGGCTAATGTAATGACAGAATATTATGAAACATGGAAAGGATTTGCTGGGATAATTAATAACTAGGATACAAAGAAAGGGAGGAGGAGGAGGTCTAAGAAAGAAGGCAATGACAGTTAAGGATTTGAAAATAATGAATTTGTTTTTAAATGTTTTTAACGGTTTGTGATGTATTTTTGTATTTTTCTTTTTTTCTGTCACTTTTTTTTTATTTTGAATTTTTACTTATATGGTGGGAAGGGGTTTGTGTTTTTTCTTTTTTCTTTTTCTACTTTGTCAACTATTTTTATTTGTACTTTCTTCTGCTTCTATTTTATTTTTTTATTTTTTGTAACACTTTGAAAATTTCAATAAATATCTTTTTTTAAAGAAAAAAACAAGAAGAGGGGAGCTCTTGAACAATCAGAGACTTCCAGTGTGTCTCTCTTGAAAAGAGGGCAGGTGGCTATGTTGTAATACAGTGGTACCTCGGGTTAAGTACTTAATTCGTTCCGGAGGTCCGTTCTTAACCTGAAACTGTTCTTAACCTGAAGCAGCACTTTAGCTAATAGGGGCTCCTGCTGCCGCCGTGCTGCCAGAGCACAATTTCTGTTCTCATCCTGAAGCAAAGTTCTTAACCCGAGGTACTATTTCTGGGTTAGCAGAGTCTGTAACCTGAAGCGTATGTAATCCGAGGTACCACTGTACTGACCTCATGACAAACTGGATATGTTCCCTACATGCACACTGCGACCCAAGTCTGATATACTGGAATAGAAAGTATCGTATTCCACACCCATGTGAATGTGTTGACCACTTCGAACAACGTTTGTCATGGGAACAATCTCTAGTAAACAAGCAGAGTCCAGGAACCGGAATGTTAGAATCCCGAAAGTGCCATCTAGTGGCTTACATGTTTAAATATTTGCATCAACGGTTTAAATTTGGAGTCAGCAAAGTTTTTCAGCAGGGGGCCAGTCCACTGTCCCTCAGACCTTGTGGGGGGCCAGTGTATATTTTGGGGGGAAAAAAATGAATGAATTCCTATGCCCCACAAATAACCCAGAGATGCATTTTAAATAAAAGGACACATTCTACTCATGTAAAAACACGCTGATTCCCGGCCATCCACAGGCCAGATTTAGAAGGCAATTGGGCCAGATCCAGCCCCCAAGCCTTAGTTTGCTTACCCATGGTTTAAAAGCTTGAGGGTCAAATTTTCTACACTGCACACCTCTATTTTCAGGAATAAATCATCAACTGAGCTAGGCATCACCTGTACAAAAGTGTGTTGATAATGAACATACAGATCACAGAGTGTTCTCTTTTAGCACTGCCATCAGCAACACTTCCAACAGTATGTGATGACGCTGCACTATAATGTGCTAGAAATCACTCAAAAGGCTCTGAAAGAGAGCATTTCATTTCATTTGCAGCCCACCTTTATCATATGTTACCACCGATTTTCTTTTCTTAATTAATTTTATAATGAATGATTTTAGAGTGTTGTTTGTGCTGTACTTTTGTACTGTTTTATTGTTGTTAGCCGCCCTGAGCCCGGCTTCGGCTGGGGAGGGCGGGATATAAATAAAATTTATTATTATATTATTATTATTCTCTTTTTATAAAAAAGAACTTTCCTGTCCCCATAAGGATTTTAATCAGTCAAAGAGAACTCTAACAGGGGCAGAATCCTGAGACCTCACACTCCACTTTGCTGGTTTAAATCAAATTCTTTGTTTTGCTCTCCCATTTAAAGCACATACTTCCTTCAGAGTGACATAAATGTGGATCTCAAGGCTAGACCTGCCGGGATCACAGCAGAACTGCGTTGTCATACGCCTGCAGGCCTCTCCTGTGAGATTTTTAAAGCCGGGAAGTGATTTCCCCATTTCTCAGGCAGCGTAATATTAAAGACACACATACTAAAATGACCAGCAAGCTTACGGAAGCCTGGAAATTTTGCAAGGCAATTGCTACTGCAAGTCAACCAAATGGGCTTGACAGGACTTGTCCCCATGTATTAGCTCCATTGAAAGTAATGGAAGAAACCGTTTATTCATGATTAGTACAATTGCATACCACTTTTCTTTCAACATGGAACTTAAGGCAGTGAAGTTAAGGCTTCCCAAGGCTGCTGTATAGCTTGTGCCTTCAGACCTTGACTGGAACATTGCACGTTAAGTCTACAACGTTCAGTGTGCTCACTATGAATGCTGCCACACTGAAGTCAACACAACTTTCTTCTGAGTATGCCTTATAAGATCAGAGTGCAAGAGCACAGGCAGAGATGCAATAACATGGCACACACTGGGCTGAGGTCTTTTTTCTTTAAGACTCTTCTCTTAGGGATGGAGGAGATACAAAGGCCCTCAACAGCCCTGCCCCACAAAGTTCTTGTTGACTAATCCCACTGCAACAGACTCGACTTCTCCATGCACATCAACACAACCATCAGTGGATCAACAACTGATGGAGCAAGGAACTTGCTTCGGGGGGTCAAAATCTGCCAACGGATGCTGGTTCCTGGACAGAGGCATGCTCACACCGCAGTCATAGCATCAGTACAAAAGCTGGGTGTCCACCGGTATGCGGATGATACCCAGCTCTACCTCTCCTTCAGATCAGAACCAGTGACGGTGGTGAAGGTCCTGTGTGAGTGCCTGGAGGCGGCTGGCAGATGGATGATGGCTAACAGTCTGAGGCTGAATCCTGACAAGACAGAAGTACTGTTTTTTGGGGTACAGGGGGCGGGTGGGTGTGGGAGACTCCCTGGTCCTGAATAGGGTAACTGTGCCCCTGAAGGTCCAGGTGCGCAGCCTGGGAGTCATTTTGGACTCACAGCTGTCCATGGAGGCGCAGGTCAATTCTGTGTCCAGGGCAGCTGTCTACCAGCTCCATCTGGTATGCAGGCTGAGACCCTACCTGTCCGCAGACTCTCTTGCCAGAGTGGTGTACGCTCTGGTTATCTCCCGCTTGGACTACTGCAATGTGCTCTACGTGGGGCTACCTTTGAAGGTGACCTGGAAACTACAACTAATTCAGAATGCGGCAGCCAGACTGCTGACTGGGAGTGGTCACTGGAACCATATAACGCTACTCATAAAGGGTCTTCACTGGCTCCCAGTATGTTTCTGAGCACTATTCAAAGTGTTGGTGCTGACCTTTAAAGTCCTAAACGGCTTCAGCGCAGTATACCTGAAAGAGCGTCTCCACCCCCATTGTTCAGCCCAGACACTGAGATCCTCCTCAGAGGGTCTTCTGCTGGTTCCCTCACTATGAGAAGTGAGGTGACAGGGAACCAGGCAGAGGGCCTTCTCGGTAGTGGCACCCGCCCTGTGGAACGCCCTCCCTTCAGATGTCCAGGAGATAAAAAAATTACACAACTTTTAGAAGACATCTGAAGGCAGCCCTGTATTCGGAGGTTTTTAATGCTTGATGTTTTATGTTTTTGGATATGCTGTAAGCCACCCATAGTAGCTGGGGAAACCCAGCCAGATGGGTGGGGTATAAATAAAAAAATTAGTATTATTATTAAATATTCTGGGGAAAGGCAGGGACAGCTCACCTTCAAGGCAAGTCATTTAGAAGGCAACTGTGTGAACCACCCACCCTGACTTGCACTAATTGCTACTGAATCTGTAAAGTGTGCACTTGGGATGATCCTGGCATATTTCAAGAATACACTTACCTGAAGGTAAAATCAGCTCCATTGAATCATCATCATAATCCAAATTCTTCTCTGGTGGCAGTTCTTCAGACATCTCTGCACCATCTCCTTCCTGATAGTCAGGATAAGTGCTCCTATGAAACAGAAATAACAGCTCAATCTCAAGACCAGCTACCAACAAGTGATGTACACAGGTTACCCATTAAAACTTCTGAGGAGGAGGTGAAAGTCTCTTTTGAGTAATATGCCACAAACGGCTACATATACTCCAGAACTGTGACACCAAAGCCACTGCAAGGTTCTGGAATAGCGTTCGAATGAGACTTGGCTTCTCAACACACCCAAATCTGATCTTCTCATTCACAACTGCCATGTAGTATAACTGTACCAGGACCAGGAAAACAGGAAGGTGCCAAGCACAGGAAAATCAGGAAACGTGGAGGTTTTAGATGAGAGCTAGAGGATTGCAACACTTTAGATGAGAGCTAGAGGACCGCAGATCTCAATGCTCCCCTTTGAAAAAATTAAAAAGGAATAGAAGAACTCCTGTACTTATACCAGGGAGAAAGGTTCTAGCATAGCTCTCACTGTGATGCACTAGTTTTCTACATGCAAGGAGTCTGCATTGTTTCTATGGGGATAATCAAGAATGAAATCCCTCACCTTAACCTAAAATGGTACAGTCCCAGCTGACTGTCACCCACAATGGTCTACGGATGCCTGTTTTAAAGCTCTTTTTGCTTTTAACTTGCTTTTAACGTTTTATGATGTTACTGCTTGTTTTTGGTTTTTATGTTGTTGTAAACTGCTGTGATATATATTTATGATACAGCTGCATATATTTTGATACAACAAACAAACAAACAAACAAACAAACAAACAAACAAACAGGGCTATACTATTATTCTCGTCTGCTGTAAAAGAACACGCTGTATCCATATGATGGGGCTATAGAACAATAACTTAACAGAATGTAGGTTTTAAGCTAAAAGGTTATCTCTGGAGACGAAGTACCAGTGGCAAGGTGGAAACAGTGGTTGTATTCAGATGATCAAATCCTGGCTTAGTATACCATCTTAATAAATGGCCTAATGGCGTACTGTAATAACATGAAGTTAAGCCAAAATATGATTTGAACACTGAACACCAACTCATAACGTATGTTGGCCACCTCATAATAAATATTTTGGTGAAAAGAAGTCTATACATTTTACAAAATAAAACACTTTGCATTAGAGCAGCCTGCTGAAGGGAAAATGTAGTATTAGCAGCACAACCTGCTTTGAAGTTCTATTTTAGATTCAAAAGGGCTTATGCAAAAGTGATTTCTGGTAGATTGTGCCCCGTATTTCTTGGTCCATCAGCTGGTACACCTTTATTGGCTAGCGCAGGAAATCATTTGTCCAAAATGTATAAAACCAGCCCTATCCCGTGGACTCAAATTAACTGACTACCTTTTAACATGTTTCCGATGTACATTCCCCCCCCCCCCCGCTGCCTACAACAAAGGATCAAAGCTATCCAGTACCCTTGCTTGTCCAGCTAAATGTCTAGCAAGCGTTTGTCCCACTGCTGCAGAAATTCTTGTGAAATAAAATGTTTGGGCTTCACATGAGCATACAGTGGTACCTTGGGTTAATTACTTAATTCGTTTCGGAGGTCCATTCTTAACCTGAAACTGTTCTTAACCTGAAGCACCAATTTAGCTAATGGGGCCTCCTGCTGCCGCTGCACCGCTGGAGCACAATTTCTGTTCTCATCCTGAAGCAAAGTTCTTAACCTGAAGCACTATTTCTGGGTTAGCAGAGTCTGTAACCTGAAGCATATGTAACCCGAGGTAACACTGTATAAGCAAGCTTGTAGCCAAACAGACTTCTGAAAGGTCAAATGGATTTTTGGGGAAGCCACTGGTTTTCAAGAGGCTAACAGACATGTCAGCACTCAAGTGAGAAGGCGGCTGCTTCCACATTAACAACAGCCCCACACCACTCCAGTGAGTGAACACTTTGTGAGCAAGCAGAATAAAGTGACTTGTTTCCAATGCCAGGATCCAACCATGGTTAGGGAGCAGCAGCAGCAGGGAAGTAGAATGTTACTCTGCCCATCCACGAGAGTCTTGCTTATGTATGTTACCCGAGTAGCACAATACTAGAAAAGGTAAAGGGACCCCTGACCATTAGGTCCAGTCATGGCCGACTCTGGGGTTGTGGCGCTCATCTTGCTTTATTTGCTGAGGGAGCCGGCATACAGCGTTTGGGTCATGTGGCCAGTATGACTAAGCCACTTCTGGCGAACCAGAGCAGCGCACGGAAACGCTGTTTACCTTCCCGTCGGAGTGGTACCTATTTATCTACTTGCACTTTGACGTGCTTTCAAACTGCTAGGTTGGCAGGAGCAGGGACCGAGCAACGGGAGCTCACCCTGCCGCGGACCTTCTGATCGGCAAGTCCTAGGCTCTGTGGCTTAACCCACAGCACCACCCGCGTCCCAGCGCAATACTAGACCAATGCAAATGCCAAAACTGAAACGTTTCATTTGCTGTGTGTCTAAATTTGGCCGCTGCCATTTCCCACCTGAAGTCATAGAAGTCTGCAAACTCCAGAGCAGCATCGCCTTCCGTGAAGAGCTTGCAGTGGCTTTTGTCGTTCATATGGGCCTGCACAGCTTCCGTCGTGTAGAAGGATTTCCCCTTCTCATTGCACCACAGGCAAATCTTCCCAATGCCAACCTTCTCTCCTGTAGGTTATGAGGAGAAAGATACACACTGTACTCTCCCATCTTATGCTAACGCAACGTATTTGGTGGCTTCACAGCATTCCACAGCCCAAATGTTGTTCTACTGTACATCAGGGATGGGAAATCTGTGTGTTGCTGAACTCCCAAATCCAATTAACCCCGTGGAAGTTTTAAGTCTAGCAACATCTGGAAGACCACACACCTGCTTCACATTATACAGTCAATACAAAAATAAATAAAACAAATAAAATAGTAAAGAGATAGGGTAAAGGACCCCTGGACGGTTAAGTCCGGTCAAAGGCGACTATGGGGTTGCGGCGCTCATGACTGCATTAAATTTATTATGGTCCCAAACCAGATTCGCATACCGTACTAAGTGAACATAAAACACAATAGAATTAAGTTTGACAATAGAATTATGTTTGTACAGTAGAATTAAGTTTGTTACAATAGAATTAAGTTTGTACAGTAGAATTAAGTTTGTTACAATAGAATTAAGTTTGCGGTACTCATCTCGCTTTCAGGCCAAGGGAGCCAGTGTTTGTCCACAGACAGCTTTCCAGATCATGTGGCCAGCAGGATTAAACCGCTTGTGGCGCAACGGGACATCGTGACGGAAACCAGAGCGCATGAAAACGCTGTTCACCTTTCCACTGCAGCAGTACCTATTTATCTACTTGCACTGGCGTGCTTTTGAACTGCTAGGTTGGCAGGAGCTGGGACAGAGCAACGGGAGCTCACCCCGTCGCTGTGATTTGAACTGCCGACCTTCCAATCGGCAAGCCCAAGGGGCTCAGTGGTTTAGATCACAGCGCCACCCGCGTCCCCCACAAATATAATAGCCTTGTATCAGGTCACCTCACAATAATTTCCTAATTATCTATGTATTTCTAATAGTATAACCAAATCCATAATTTTTGATATAACTGTAAAAACTACTCTGAAAATTTATTATTCAAAAAATGAAACCTTCATCTGGTTGTAAATATTAAGATTATACCAGCAAGAATGAGTCTTTCTGTAAAAAAAAATAATGATTTAAATCAAGTCTTACTGACTAGTGATTTAAATCAATTTGATTTAAATCAAATCCACCCTGTTTCAAATGATATGTATTTTACTCTGAGGAACAACACTGAGATGAATGCCACAGGATGCCATCTTAAAATCAACAAGAGAGCTTGAGATAGTTGAGGCTGGCATGTCTTAAGACTTACCCAAGTACTTAATCAGACCTCTGATATCCACAAGATATTCTATATCTGGAATAAAGAAACTGTGAACTTTTGTCATGTGGGACACATTCTTCATGAGACAGCTTGAATGGTGGGAACAGAATAAGCAGTCAGTTACTGGGATCGCGTCTGAGCTGGGGTGATCCTTCCCAGACGCACTCTCTTCAGCCTCATCCGGGATTCCTTCCATCGGTCCTTCTTCGACCTCCAGATCTTCATCTGAGTCTACATCCTCCCAACCTTTCAAACCAAGCGAAAGTGAAAGCTTAGGAGGAATCTTTTCATGCTGACCAAAAGATGCAGGTTAACCATTCAATACAAGCGGCAGGCTAGTGATCTCATAATTATGAATGGTCTATCACTCCCTTGATTGCTCCCAAAATCATTTGGGCTGCTTGAGCGTTCAAGGCGAACACTAAAAAAACTCCCTAAGAACACTGTGCTGTCTTCTTTTTCGTGCCTGCTTAAAAATTTTTTTGTTTAGGCTTTAATTTTGTATTAATTTGGTGACAGTTGGTTAATTTTTTTGGAAAATCAATAAGAAGAATAACAACAATTTCCCCAGCCACTATGGGCGGCCCCCAACAGAACATTAAAAACACGATAAAACATCAAACATTAAAAACTTCCCTAAAGAGGGCTGGCTTCAGGTGACTTGTAAAAGTCAGATAGTTGTTTATTTCCTTGACATCTGACGGGAGGGCAGTCCACAGGGCGGGTGCCACTACCAAGAAGGCCTTCTGCCTAATTCCCTGTAACCTCACTTCTCGTAGTGAGGGAACCAGTAGAAGACCCACAGGGCTGGACCTCAGTGTCTGGGCTGAACGATGGGGATGGAGACGCTCTTTCAGGCATACTGGGCGGAGGCCGTATAATTGGCAAAAAAACCCCACATTTTTCTTTAGGCAAGTCTGTTGAGATATGTAGAAGCTACATTATGTTTTACCTCCTTTGAACTACTATCAATTCTAACAATCCTTCGGAATGTTTTTCTATACCTGTATTTAACCATTGTTATCAATAATTTTATTGCTCTATATTTTTGTAACCAGCTTTGGGGTTTTCTTACAATCAAGTCGTATAAAATTTTTGCTAAAATAATTTTTAAAAAAATATTCAAGCAGCCCAAATTCTCCCTATCTCCTCTATATTTTCAGCCTAGATAGAAACTGCAGATTTGAACTACCATAGTTTTCACTCCATAACACGCATTTTTTTCCTCCTAGAAAGTAAGGGGAAATGTCTGTGCGTGTTACAGAGAGAATGCTTCCCTCCTCCGTGGCTCGCTTTGAAACAGCAAAGTGGGAGAAGAGCCGCTGAATGGGGAGGAGAGAGTGACAGAGAGCCTGCTTCTTTAAAGGAGCAAAGCGGGAGAGGAGAGGAGCTGCTTACACGAGTGTAAGAGGCTCCTGTCCATTTGGCTCCTTTAAAGCAAGCAGGCTCTCTGTATCTCTCTCCTCCCCACTCAGCGGCTCTTCTCCCGCTTTGCTGGAAATAGAAGGAAAGATTTTCAGCTCGCTAAGTGGGGGGAGGGTGAGGGAGAGAAGCAGAGCCTGCTTGTTTTAAAGGAGCAAAGCGGGAGAGGAGAGGAGCCTTCCCCCCTTATACCCCTCTTCTGCATTATTAGCAGCATCCTTCTCCACCCACCCCACACATGCACATTGTCCCTTAAGTGCTTTTCCTTCCCTTCCCACTTAAAACGTGGTTACAAAGCACAGATCCACATGGATCCTCAGGATTTTTGCACTGGCTCACCCCAAATTCACCATCAGATCACATAGCATGTCCAAGGCTACAATTTGCACCAAAAAAATCACGCACCCACTGTTGCCTAGGGCCGCAGTGGTGCAAAAACGTGGTTACAAACATGGATCCACATGGATCCTCAGGATTTTTGCACTGGGCTACCCCAAACTCACCGTCAGATCACATGTCTGTGGCCACAGCATGAACCACAAAAATCATACATCCACTGTTTCGTTTAGAATATTTTTTTTCTTGTTTTCCTCCTCTAAAAACTATGTGCGTGTTATGGTCGGGTGCGTGTTATCGAGCGAAAAATACGGTAGCTGCTGTACAAAGCCTATGAATGGGACTTTCTAATAAACCAGGGGTCAGACAACACAAACACATGTTGTTGTTGACCACCTCCCATCAGCCTCAGCCAACATGGCCAGGAACGATGGGAATTGTAGTCCAGAAGATCTGGATGGCTTTTCCTGTGCTAAAGCATCCAAACTCCCCAAAAGACTGATGCCAGAATAAACTGCCCTTGCCCCTCTACCTTCTTCCATATCGTCAGCCTCCTCTTCTTCCTCCGATTGTTCTCTTGCCAGCTTCTTGGCCTGTTCCTCAAACCACTGCAGCCGGGGAGCTTTTTCCGCACGCTCTCTGCTACTTTCCACAGCAACCAAAGACCCAGCAGCACCGCCAGGCAAGACGGGAGCCTTCTTTGGAGACAAGGAGGGCTGGGCTCTGATGGCTTGCTGGATGGCGGCATTCATGGCATCTTTGTCGACGTTCTCTTGAGCAAGGCCTTTCTCCAAGTTCTTCTCGTTCAGGAGTTCGACCTTCTTGCTGACCGCTTGGACGGCTTTCTTCTCGAGCTCCAGGTGCTTCTTGGACTTCAGGTGGTTCTCGTAAGCGTTGAAGTTGGAGAACCTCTTGCTGCAAGCTGTGCAGTAGGTAGCAGTCGCCTTATTCTGCTCCTCCAGCCCGGCTCTCTGCGCCAGAACCCTCTCCTGGAAGTTCTCAGCAGTGACAGGCGGCATCTCAGCGACTTTCCGTTTCAGGTTGTACCTGTGCCAGTCGGTCTTGTAGTGGGCACGCTGGACATCAGCATCCTTGAAAGCCACGCGGCAAGTGATGCAAGTGTACGACGCCACGGCTGGAGAGGAAGGAGAACACACAAACGCCATAACAGAGATTAGCCAATATAAGCAAAAGCCTGAAATTCAGCTTAACACAACGGTCTTAGGCATGCCTTATATTAACAGGAATAAAACAGGCAACCTGGGAGGGGAGGAATTTTACACAGCCCATGGATCTAAAAACAGAGGTTAATGAAACATGTGGTACAATCTGAACAAACACTTCGAAGTCCCATTGGTTTCTCCAACAAACAAAATCAGCATCTGGTATGCCGGCTGAGACCCTACCTGCCCACAGATTGTCTTGCCAGAATGGTGCACACTCTGGTTATCTCCTGCTTGGACTACTGCAATGTGTGTGGGGCTACCTTTGAAAGTGACCCGGAAACTACAATTAATCCAGAATGCGGTAGCTAGACTGCAGACTGGGAGTGGCTGCCGGCACCATATAACACAGGTCTTGAAAGACCTACACTGGCTCCTGTGACGGTAACATATATGAGAGAGTGCTGGAGGGGAAATAGTTAAATAGGTTGCACAGACAGGACCCAGGGGGTGGAGTCAGTGGGTCTATAAAACTAGTTCTGGGAGGAGTTCGTTGGGAGTTGTGGGTGGGTAGTTGGTTGGATTTCATGGGTTGGCTGGTTGGGAAAGGCAGTTGGTAATAGAGAGACAGTTAGGGCAGTTGGTCCTTGAGTGTGGGGGAGGTAGCAGAGATAGAGAGAGGAACATAAGACTAAGAAAGTAAAGAGGAACACCGTTTGGTATGCTGTAAAAGTTTTGTTTTATGTCTGAAATAAAATACACTCTTCTTTATTAATTAAAAAGCTGACTGAGACTGAAGTGATTTTACCAGGGAGGACCTGGTTGGTGGCAGCGGATTAGTGGTGTACGGGTCAATAGTCCGTGAGACGACCGGGGGCTCCATATGAATGCCACAGCTCCCAGTACATTTCCAAGCACAATTCAGAATGTTGGTGCTGACCTTTAAAGCCCCAAACGGCCTTGGCCCGGTATACCTGAAGGAGCATCTCCACCCATTGTTCAGCCCGGACACTGAGGTCCAGCTGCGAGGGCCTTCTGGCGGTTCCCTCACTGCTGAGAAGCAAAGTTACAGGGAACCAGGCAGAGGGCCTTCTCGGTAGTGGCGCCCACCCTGTGGAACACCCTCCCATCAGATGTCAAGGAAATACAGTAAACAACTACCTGACTTTTAGAAGACATCTGAAGGCAGCCCTCTTTAGGGAAGTTTTTAATGTCTGATGTTTTATTGCTTTATTATTATTATTATTCTGTTGGGAGCCGCCCAGAGTGGCTGGGGAAACCCAGCCAGATGGGCGAGGTATAAATAATAAATTATAATATTATTATTATGCCTTATATTAACAGGGAAAAACAGGCAACCTGGGAGGGCAGGAATTTTACATACCTCGTGGATCTAAAAATACACCTTAATTGTATATGCAGCACAATCCAAACAAAGTCCTATTGATTTCCCCAACAGACAAAATCAGCACAATATTGTTGGCATCTGTATGTCTGTCTCAAGAGGCAAGGAGATGAAGTAAAACCACCAAAATGACTTCCCAGGAGCTCAAGCCTGGGTAGTGTGTATGGAGGTCCTGGGCTGCCCAGACAACAAGACTCCCCTCTTGGCCTCACTGATGTGGTCCAAAGGAAAGCAGAATCAGCTTGGCTGCAGGAGTTGCCAGAGGGAGCCATACAAGGCACCATCCAACCATCTTAGGGAATCCACTCTGGATTTGTGTTGTGTTCTCCGAAAAGGCCGTGGAGGTTTGGGATAAGTGCAGTGGTGCCTCGCAAGACGAAATTAATCCGTTCCGCGAGTCTCTTCGTCTAGCGGTTTTTTCGTCTTGCGAAGCAACCCTATTAGCGGCTTAGCGGATTAGCGCTATTAGCGGTTTAGCGGCTATTAAAGGCTTAGCGGCTAAAAGGCTATTAGCGGCTTAGAAAAAGGGGGGGGAGCGAAAAAAATCGCAAGACTTTTTCGTTTTGCGAAGCAAGCCCATAGGGAAATTCATCTTGCGAAACGCATCGAAAAACGGAAAACCCTTTCGTCTAGCGGGTTTTTCGTCTTGCGAGGCATTCGTCTTGCGGGGCACCACTGTGTTTTCCTTCTCCTAGCTTTTCCAGCTGCACTGGCTCCCGGTGGAGTACAGGGTCAGATTTAAGGTGCTGGTTTTGACCTTTAAAGCCCTTCACAGCCTAGGACCCTCGTACCTACGGGACCGCCTCTCCCGGTATGCCCCACGGAGAGCCTCAAGGTCCATAAATAGCAACACCCTAGTGGTCCCGGGCCCTAAGGAAGTTTGTTTAGCTTCAACCAGAGCCAGGGCCTTTTCAACTCTGGCTCCGGCCTGATGGAATGCTCTGTCTCACGAGACCAGGGACCTGCAGGACCTGATTTCTTTCCGCAGGGCCTGTAAGACAGCGCTGTTCCGCCTGGCCTTTGGCTTGGAGCTAATTTGATTCCCTCCCCCTCCTTCTTTTTTCTTTTTTCTTTTTCCTTTCTCCTCCTGTGATGAGGCTGCATTTTAATATTTAAATGTTTCAATATTTTAATTGTTGTATTTTAATCTTGTTTTTAAGTTGTATTCATTCAACTTTTTATTATTGCTTGTTAGCCGCCCTGAGCCTGGCCTTGGCTGGGGAGAGCGGGGTATAAATAATAATAATAATAATAATAATAATAATTAGATGGTCTGTCTTTCCAGGTTGATGAGCTCCATCTGCCCCTACAGCACAATATGCTAACAAAGTAAACTAAGGTACATATTGGCACAGTAAATCCCGATTAGTATTTTCCACAGAACCAGTAATGCACTAGTTGGTAGGGCCTGTTTAATTTTTCAACTTCCATATTCCAAAAATGAGGGGTGCTAAAAAGTTATAACGTGACTAGGGAATTCAAAAGGTCCTTTGGTTAAATTAATGTAACTTAAGTTTTTGCTGGTAAATAAAATGTGTGCAATAGTGGATACAAAGCCTTAAAAATGATGGCAAGTACTTGGCAGTTATATTATATATTACATATTTTTATTTATATATTGTACATATTTTCTATTACCTGACACTTTCAGAAGACAAAATTAAAATTCTCTGGCATTCCGAGAGCAGTTCGTTTGCTTTTTAATCAAATGTACCCTTACCAAGCCAAATGCTGTCACAAAAATAACAGGTTTAAATTCCTCATGCCCCAAAACATGTTTTTCAGACCCCCTCATTGAATAAATAGGCAAACATTAAATTTCAGCTCCTAAACTGACACGCCCTAAGTGAACGGGACACCTGGCTCCATCGTCACAGAGACTTTGCACAATCCTACCTGACGTCGCCGGACAGTCGGGCGACTCGCTGCTGCTCATAATCCAGCGGCTGGAAAGGCCGCGTCGGAAGCGAAAGTAGTTGTTTTTATTAGAAAGAAAAAAAGATATCAGCGACTCGAATCCTGAACGACGACACGGAACGCTGGTGAAAGAAGGCAGCGCGATGGAACGTTGAGCGTGGGAAAGAGAACATTGAGCGTGGGAAAGAGAACGTTGGAGCGGCGAAGATTCCACCGAACTTTGATCACTGTCGGCACCAAATACGCAACGCTTCCCTTCCCTTTTCCCGGCCTCGCAGCCACGCTTCACCGTCGAAGCTTTTCCTTCTCGCTCGCAGGAAGCGGAAGAAGGCTTTGACGGCTGTTTCCCGCTTCCTCTTCCTTCTCTCGCGCGCCCTCTGCGCGCACGGAGGCTTACATGCTGCGCCGTGTTATTCTTCCCATTTTTCCAGCGGCGCAAAGAGGGGCAACCGATTCTTTTGCGTGCTCCACAAGGCAGAGGCTGGAAAAGAGGAGGGAGGGCCCCAGCTTGGACGCCCCCAACCCATGGTGCCACCCGCTTTTACGCGCGAGAGCCACGGAAGGCAGCGTCTGGTTCTCCGGGTTCTTCTCGGTTGCCCTCCGTATCCACTCCGGGCGCTGCGCGATGAGGACTAGTCCCTTGGTGCTTGCTGGGGAACAAACACAAGCATCCACTTCTGCCCAGGCCGCTCTCTGTCCTTTCTCCATTTCTGGGCTAATGCTGGCGCCTTCCAGGCGTTGATGGACAGCAGCTCTCATCAGCTCCAGCCAGGGATGATGATGATGATGATAATTTATTATTTATACCCCGGACAACTGGCTGCGTTTTCCCAGCCACTCTGGGCGGCTCCCAATCAAGTGTTAAAAAAAATACAGCATTAAATATTAAAAACATCCCTAAACAGGGCTGCCTTCAGATGTCTTTTAAAGATAGGATAGCTGCTTATTTCCTTCACATCTGAAGGGAGGGTGTTCCACAGGGTGGGCTCCACTACCGAGAAGGCCCTCTGCCTGGCTCCCTGTAACCTCACTTCTCGCAATGAGGGAACCGCCAGAAGGACCTCGGTGCTGGATCTCAGTGTCCTGACTCTCCTCGTTAGCATTAAGATAAATTCAACAGTGTAAGTTTTGATGGATGTAATAATGGAATACTGAATGGTTTAGTTAAAATATGCAGGGATTTATGTTATGCAAAATGAACCATGGAAAGAGTAGAAGAGAAGTCACTGACATTTTAAGGTTGTTTAAATGAATCGTCTAAATTGCAAAACAGAAAATTTAATAAAAAAATATTTTTTAAATAATTAAATTTATAGCCCATAAATCCAATGGAATTAGATAGTGGAAAGCATGGGAGAGGATAGAGGGGATTTTGTTAGTTGCAGATGCTAAATTTTGTCTAATGTGTTGACATGACTCAACACTAGTATTATCAGAGGTTATAAACTAGCGTGATGCAAAAGGGCTATTACCAAATATGCTGACGTAAATAGCTGCACACACAAACTTAAGCTTTAAATGTTGTTGACATACCACCACAGCTATCACTTTACATTAACTGGAGGGCATCATCCATCATCACATGTATGCACAAAACAACCAACTTGCAGGGACTTCTGTAGTAGTCAAACACTAACCTCAAATCAGTTCAATTATAACTTCAGAGGATATTTGGCCAGGTATTATTAGATGTTGTACACCCCCTTCCCTTTTTACTGAAGGAGAAGTGCAAAAAGCTTTGTGCAGGAGGCATAAAAATAGGTTAAAAAGTTACAAGGAGGCATCCAACCACCATCTTTAGCCTTTTCACTTGTGGGAAACCAATCCCAATCTGTGCTTTTATCTTAATGCAGACCCTACAAAGCTAAAGAATTTAAGCCCATTTCAAAGCAACTCCCACTGATTTCAATGGAATTAACATTCAAGTATGCATCTTCAAAAGGCAGTTTCACAACATCCAAAGTATTTTTAGTAGTTCAGTGTTTTATCCATTCTGCTTTGAGGGTCGAAGGGGTAGTTCTCACATTGAAATTTTAAATACTGAAAACACCCCTGGGTCTGAACCGGAAATTGTAATATAATATCAGTTTGCAAGAGAGAAGTTACCGTAGTGAAGATCATACAGAGGTCCTCATAATTATGTGCTTACCAGGAGCAGACAAATGGGAAAATAATTTCTTCTCTCTCAAGGGTAACAGGAAATGAGGCCTGATGAAGTACCAGTGTAAGTGGTAGCTTTTTGTTTATTGCTAAATGCAGAACAGAACAAAAAGTGTAAGGGAAATCCTTGCGGGCCAGAGATACCAACAATTCATTGTTCAGTGGTACCTCGGGTTACAAACACTTCGGATTAAAGACTCCAATAACCCAGAAGTAGTACCTTGGGTTAAGAACTTTACTTCAGGATGAGAACAGAAATTGCATGGTGGCAGCAGGAGGCCCCATTGGCTAAAGTGGTACCTCAGGTTAAGAACAGTTTCAGGTTAAGAACAGATCTCCGGAACAAATTAAGTCCATAACCAGAGGTATGACTGTATTAGATCCAACTTCCCTTCTTTAGACAAAAGGAACCACGAACAATTTCTTATATGGTAATACAGTTGTGTCTGCATTTGTAAATAACTAGGATGTTTGTGGAACACGTCAGATTTTTTAAAACACGTTTTTCCGCAGGTTAAGTAGTCGAGGGCTGATTTCTTGGCCTATGATAAAAAGTCTTCTGTTTCCACTGCCAAACCTTTCAGGGGGGAATTTGCAACAGTTAGGCACCATTTTTGAGTGAATTGGATAACGTCAGATTTTTGCTGAAATTAGGGATTTTTTCAGAAAAATGTTTTTCCTCTGGTTAAGTAGTCGAGGGCTGATTTCTTGGCCTATGATAAAAACTCTTCTGTTTCCACCGCCAAACCTGTCAGGGGAGAATTTGCAACCATTTGGCACCATTTTTGAGTGAATTGGATAACGTCAGATTTTTGCTGAAATTCTGACCCTGCAAGGTGAGGGATTTTTTCAGAAAAATGTTTTCCGCAGGTTAAGTAGTTGAGGACTGACTTCTTGGCCTATGATAAAAGCTCTTCTGTTTCCACTGCCAAACCTTTCAGGGGAGAATTTGCAACCGTTTATAACCATTTTTGAGTGAATTGGATAACATCAGATTTTTGGTGAAATTCTGACCTAGTGGGTTAGGGATTTTCTTGCAAAAAATGTGGGTTAAGAAACTGAGGGATGATTTTTTTTGTCTATGATAAAATATTCTGTTTGTCCTGCCAAACCTTGCAGGGGAGAATTTGCTACAGTTTGGCACAATTTTTTAATGAATTGGACAACATAAGATTTTTGGTTAAATTGTGACCTCAACGGGTTTCGGATTTTTTTGAAAAAACATTTTTTCGCATTTTAAGTCACTGAGGGCTGATTTTTTGGGTACATGGTAAAATATTCTGTATGCACCGCCGAGCCTTGCAAGGGAGAATTTGCTAGAGTTTGGTACCATTTTTGAATGAATTGGATAACGTCAGATTTTTCATGAATTTGTGACCCCGTGGGTTAGGGATCCCATCAGTGTTTTATGGATCATTCTGCAATTTGTAAAGCATAGTGATGGTTTTTACTTAGAATGTCCTGGAGCACATTTAAGGAAATGTAAGGCTTCTTCTGATACCATTTGTATTGTTTTGGAGTACAGAAAGCTAATATGAGGACTACACTAGCAGGATTGGAAATCTATGTTAGCCCATATCCATGATAGACCTCTAGAAATCAAATGTTTACTCATGCCTTTGATGAACTGACACTTAAAAGTTGGGTGCTGGCTCCTAAGAATTCGAAATATTTTTTCTCACCATCAAGGATGAGCTTAGAGAAGCTATTACATTACTAAGTGGGAATCAATTCCTATGTCAACAAAGGCAGCCAAAATCCAAGGAGCAGCGTACAAGTCATTTTCCATGCTGCAGGGGGCATTAGACTCATTGCTCAAACTGCAGCTTGTGCCACATTGTAAACTTGTTTTTGAAATGTGCGTTTGTAATGTAGTTTGGGCTTTGTTAAACAAGAGTCTGCAGTTCAAAGGCGGCAGGGGAGAACAAATCCTATTGGCCATACCCACTCAAAGCCCTTTGGTGTACCATAAATAGATCTTCCAGCCTCTGTTCAGAATTTTCAAAAGAGAATGCAAAGACCCCTAGGCAGTTAATCACAACGTCTCTTTTCTGTGTAAGATGCTGAAGGTGGAAGAAGTAAGAAATCAGAGCAGCTACACAAACAAATGTTTTCAGGACTGGGGCTTTATTTTATAATATTACGATCGTACTTTTTTGTCTCGATACCAGAAAAACTGGTTTACAGGAAGTCTCAAGCAGGTCCACCAGCTGCTTTTAATGATGAACGTTGGAACTTCAGTCCTTTTAAGAGTACCACCACAGTATTGGATATTTGGAAATCCCTGAAACATTTCTTCTAAAAACAACAATAAAGTGCACACAGTTACATTTTACAACACGGCTGGTATGAGCTAGGAAGATGCTCTGCCAGTCTTCTTACAAGTCTTCTTCAAACCCCTCCCTGCTCTCTCCCCCTAAGCAGCCTCAACTATTTAACTGCGCAATCTGGTGCATGCTTACTCAGAAGTAAATCTCACTGAATTCAGTAGGGCTTTTCCCCAAGTAAATGTGTTTAGGATTGAAGGGGCATTATCTATAGAATGGATAAAGTTTGATTAACTGCACTTCCACCATGAAAAAGGAACCCAAGGGGAAGAGGTCACTGTGAGCTTCTGCTGAGCATATCTCTATTTATGGGTACAGCATCCTCTTGGATGGAAGTGCTTTCCTCTATTCCTTTATTTGTTCATAGACAACTTCTTAATAAAATAAAATAAAATAAAATAAAATAAAATAAAATAAGAGCACTGCCCAATGGTATCAAAGCCAGAGCTACATAAAAACCTGAGATAGTGAGTACACTATTTGTGGGGCATCTTTGATAGGAAACAACTGTCAGAATCTTGCATTAGGCAATTGCTTTGTTGCAATCCTAAACCCACTAAGGAGCAAACCTGCTTGAAAGTCAGTGGGACTTGGGAGTAAATATTATTAATGTTTATGTCTCCCATCTTTTGCATGGCCTAAATTCACTTTCATCCACGTGACTCTAGGCTGAAGAATGAAGGCACCCACTTAACCAACAGAAAACCTGGCAGACACGCACACACGATTCTGCTTGTGTCTGTGATATATAAAACCACAGGCATTAGCAGAATCAATACTAAGCAAGTATCCATTTGAGTCTGTAGTACCTTCCAAATCCCTGCATTTTGCATAACCATTTCACCATGCCCCCATCTGATGGGAGGTGAAATCATTATCAAGCCAGGTATGGAGATAGTTGACCAAGCTGCTTTGGAATGAGAGCTGACATTAGGGTAGTTTGGTCTTGTCTGTCTGGGGTCTCCTTAAACACCTTGCGTAGGGCAGGAGGGAAGAGAAGGAAACTGAGCTCCTAACATATCCTTCCCAAGTTAACATTTTGGGCAGTGATACTACGCACATTGCCTATTGAAAATGGAAGCTATGGGGGGAAAAGAGCACCACCCTATAAACTGGGGCTGCACTTTTTAGAGGCTCACAACATAACCATGTCTGTCTGTTAGAATGCCAGTAAAAATCTGTAACAGTTTGAGATTAATCAAAACAGCCGATATGGTCCCTCAATCTGCTGGCTTTTTATAACATACTATTAGAACTAGCAGTATTTCTTTTTTTAAAACTTTGGTTTACCTTGATAAGGCACTGCCTGCTACTGTCAACTTTAAAGGTAAACCACAAAGCTGAGAAGACAAGTTACATTTTAAGATGATCCAGAGTCAGCCACACAATATGCAAGTTGTTAAAATTAGGAGTGTTTCATGGCAACAGCCTCTACTTATATGCTAGGAATAGAATAGTCTACATTTCTTTTGCAAGCAGTAGTTCTTGAGGAACTGAATATAGCAGTCAATTTCTTTGATTTTTAGATGCAATGTAATACTTAGGTCCTAAGAGCATAGAATTGATGAACTGGAGACTGTCTATTCAGTTTTTGAATATCTCCCTGGTTTCCTTTCCCCAAACCCAAATTCAACCCCACACAGCATATACATATACTACACGTAGATGGCTTATATACTGCCTCAAATGTATTGTTCTTTCCTTTTGCTATGAAGCTAGTAAAAGAGTACACGAAGCATGAAATTATGCCGTTCTGATAGGCTAATGGCCTACAAGAATGGAAGTAAATTTTAAATGCATCACACTGTCCTGTGTGAAAAGAATCTCCAGGAATTCATATAGGTAACACAAATGATGGCAATCAGTTACAATGATGATGTCTGGAGTCATAAATCAGAGATATTTGCAAAAGGGTTCAGAGTCTCTGAGCCTATCAGACATTTGTTTACTCTTGGAGGTTTAGATATTCCGCTACATAGGAGGTAACTAGGACATGATGGCTTCTTGATTCCTGTTGATATCTTCTCTCCCTGAAGCATTGCTCCTAAACGCTTGAAAAGTAAGAGTAAACAGGCTGGAGGTGAAAAGGATTTGGTTACAGCCACGAGGGAGCTACATTTGGCAATTTATATATATATCTATATCTATTTCTTTAAAACCTTGCCTCTTAAATTCATTTGATACAAAATAATGAGATACGTTTTTCATTTCTATGGGATCACTATCAGAAACAAAACTACCAGCATCAACTGATCTGCAACAAGTTAGTACACTTTGCATGGAGGACATAACAGCACATCTAAAATAATAGATAAAGCTTACAGCTCATCATTTTCCTTTTTTTTCTCTTTTGCATTTCACATGGTCTATATTTTATTTTCTCTATACTATTAAGCAGCTCCAGTTAATGGCCCCCAAGCAGGTTTGAGAGGAAGCCTAAAGACTTCTTTTCTTGTGGTTCTGCCTCTTGGCCTTTGGTAAGCCCCAGTTCGCTTTCTATCTGCTCAAGCTCTGACTGGTCAAGCAGTTCAAAATCATCGCCTTCCTCTGTGTCTGTCTCTTCGCTTAAGTTTGGGTCGCCTTGCACAGACTGCAACTGGTCTCTGACAGCTGCGGACACCACCGACGTAACAACATCTCCGGCAACTGCTCTTACTAAGCTGAAAGCCGGGTCGCTGATCAATGGCAAGGAAAGGCCTGCTGCAGAGAGCCCCTCCTTATCCTGCCTGTTACGGCAAGCTGATGTGGTAGAGAGATGGTCCTTTTTTCTCTCTTGACGGACAGGGATGCCAATGCTTGAATCGTCGTCATCATTTGTTCCTGCACCGTTTTCCACGGATGGAAATTCTGCGAGATCTTTTGCGAAAGCTTCCTCGTGGCGATCCAAATCTATTGAACAATCGACAGGAGAAGCCATTATCAACAGCTTGTTTCCGTGATATGATACAACACAAATTTCTATTGAATAAATAAATGTCATGCCCACTTCCAGGAATACTCAAAAACAAAAACAAACGTCGGCATGTAAATCAACTTGGAAGGACTCCATAAAAGGCCAAAATGATTAAAGGCGTAAGACATGATGCCTACTGGGTACATCAACAGTTCCTCCCCAACACAGACAAAAAGAAAAGGAAGAAAGAAGACCGAGAGAACAAATCTAGAGAGGTAAATATTAAACTTATAGATAAAGGGTAAATTTTAAGAATGGTAATCAACTAAATTTTACTCAGAGCAAATGTATTTAATGAACAGGACTAAGTTAGGGCCACTAGGTTTACTCTGAGTAAAATTTGTTGAATGTTACCCAAGATTTGGAAAGGCTGAAGGTCACTGGTTTAATAAAGCATGCAGCTGATCTGTTATAATTTCATTTGATTGCATTCAGTTTCTTTTTATCATAATCATAAACATAATAATTGTTTTATTTATACCCTACCTATCTGATTGGTTTGCACCATCTAGGTTACTAACCAGGTCTGCCCTTAGCTTCTTCAGTGACTCACATCATCTGATACCCTCAGACCATTTACATTCATGTGCATGCCTTATTCATTCATACAACACACTGAGAAGTGATCACTGATGATACAGTTACCAACATTTGCAAAGCAAATGTTAGTGAACAAATATTTTAGTTAGAATAGGAAAATGTCATCTGTGAGTTGGGGATGGTGGTGTCTAGTTTTCTACCATTATAGTTTTAACACAAAAGTATCTACTTAAGATACCTTTTTGTGCATAAATTATTAAATGTAGATTACCAGGTAAACTAAAAATAGACTTGAGAGGGACAGAATTAAATAAAAGTGCTTTCATATGCAAAAAAAACCCCTACAAATTTGGAAGCAAGATGCACGTACCATCAGATGTGTCTGTTTGTGGAGTGTTGCCCTCAGAAAGATTGAAAGTCCCATTGTCAGTCCAAGATACTTCCGATATATCAGTATCTGATACAGACATCTCTCTGGCCACGACTGTAGGGCTAACCTGTATTTTGAAAAAAAGAAAACTGTCAAGCATGGCACTCTTAAATTCTAGGCTAAACTGAATACCTACACATTTAAAACTTACACCATGTGAATTCAATCAAGTTAACTCACTTGACTCCACTGATTTAATTGAAATAGCTGGATTCAAGTTAGTTATGTCCACTGATTTCTATGAGTCTACTCTAGGTATAACTTAGATAGCATCTCAAGAAACTCTTGCTTTATATACTTGTGGAATGTAAAGTTCTAACTACAAGATACAAGGAGAAAAAAACTGCAATTATGCAGCAACAATATTTCATTGTTGCTTCATTGTATAGTAATGTATTTTAACAATACACTGTTAAATGCACAATACAAGGGATTGTGAGATGCTCCAGAAGGCTGTCTCCATACTGATTGAATGGACACAGAAATGGCAATACTGTTCAATGCAAGTGTAAAGTAATGCACACTGCGGCAAGCTTTCCTTCCCTATATATATACACATTAGATGGAATGCATAAACAAGTGAGGGCTGTGTGCTGTAGGGAGAGGTGGAATGGGCTTGTGGGATCCTGACCCCCCGTCACATATACACTTTGAAAATAGGCACAGGACTGTTAATGTCAATATCTGCCCCCTCCAGGTGCTGAAGAAGTAGACACATAAGTTTGTATTGTGATGAAATCTTTTTGTGTTGCAAAGGGTCCATAATACAAAGGCAGCTGTACAAATCAGAGCCCTGTTTCTAATTGCTTGATGAGTCGTGACTTTCATTTCCACGGACTGAAATTGATTGTGGTGGTACCTGTTGCGTTCACAAGATAAACCTCTCATGCCAAAAAGCAGGTTCAGAGAAAGAATGCCTCCTACATTACTCTAGGCTGCAGCCCTGGGAGCCCTCACTCCTGAGTAAGTTCTACTGATCAGAGTCTGACATGCCTCTGAATAAACAGGATCAGGCTGTGGAAACTTCTTAAAATTCCAGCACACCTGGAATTTGCAGCAAACAAGTAGAAAGGAGTGGACAACTCTTGAGAAATGTTTCTCTTTCCGGACAACGAAAGCACAACAGTCAATATGCTTATTTGTAGTCTAGAGAACTCAATATAGAACCAACCTACCTTAGGACACAAGGCTGATACATCTAGTTCACTGTTGTCATCTGCCAACTTTGTTCTTATAATTTCTGGAAAAGATTACAAACCAATTAGCTTTCCGTTACCTACTTTGTTTGTCAAACATTCCTAGGTTTTGTTGTTGTAGCTAACAAAGAAATCAAGAGATTTATGTGCATAAATTCTACATGTGTAAAATTTATTTATATAGCATTTATTTATTATATATATCTACACAAAGTTTTACATGCACACTGCTTTACAATGCATTCGTAGTAAAAATATTCACTTTCCCAAGATACACAACATTGTTTGGTTTTGAAACTTTACTCTTATCACTCATGGGAAGCCTAAGATTTTTTGGTATTTGTTTGTATTTGTGGATAAACTGGCAACCACAAAAATAACACATCCCTTCTTCTTTCCTCAAGAAAGCTGACATTACACAGGGAGAAAAATCTATTCAAAGCTGCCTGCTTACCAGCTCGCTCTCTCAATTTTTGGTTGATATAGTCCCAAACGCCAAAGTCCAGTTTCAGCAGAAGTGGCTTAATGTTGCTATATACTTTCTGCCCAAATTCATTGCATTTGAAGAGTGGGCACAAGAAGGCACATAGTACTGCAACAGAAGTAGGAAATATAAATAAGTAAGTTCTACCATTTTTTACAACAAGTTTGCAGAAAAGTAAACTTTTGAGCTATGCCATTTTTTGAATACTCTTTACAAATCCTTCTTGAAGCATATAAAATGGTCTGTTTCCAAGGAACATGCAAGTTAGAAATATCTATTGCTAAATAAAGCACTCTGTGTGTGTTTAGTGGGATCCACAGCGTCTAAGAATATATTGTGTGGGGAGTTAGTGTAGCATAGTGTCGAAGTCTCAATTAGTTCAGTGGAACTTACACCTAATGTAAAAGTTTATGAGACTGCAGCATGATCTCTTTAAGGAAATAAATATTGATTTACTGCTTCATTTATTCAGGGAATCTAGATTTTTGCCCTTAAGAACTTCAGCTTTGTCAATATCACATTTTCCTAACATTTAAGCCACAATTATTTTGCTGCCAGGAAAAATGCAATTTCGTCTTCTTTTCAAGAATCTTAATTGCAATGGTGAATTCTGTGCAGAATGTGGTTTGCTTGTTGCTATGGGAATCCCCCCCCCCCCCCGAGAAAGTAAAGTAACTATTGCATCCCTTAAGAATTGGAAGAAACTTACATAGAAGGTAAGAGAGTACAACTCCAGGAATGTAACTTCCTAAGATTGTGAAGAATGTGCACACACTGCAGACCAGGAGGCAAAACTGTTTAAGAGAAAGCATCAAGTAATGATTAGAGATATCACTGCCACATCTGAACTAAAACATGGCTTTTAATATGTTCTTACCAACAGCAAAAATTGTAGAGCTACCTTCCATCACCATCATTTTAGTAAACAAATCAGAAGAGTGATGAAAATGCTTGTTAGCCATTTGGGATTATCTTTTGTGTCTTTTGTCACTCACTTTCTTTTACACCACAACAGATACATTGTGTGAGTGAGGAGCTCAGAGAAAAGCTTCTTCTGCAGCTCAGTTGCATCCCCACCCAATCATTCTGGTGGCTGAGCCCCCACTTCAACTCCAAAGGAAATACAAAGTTGTGGGGAGGGCAACAGGATGACTTTGGGTGGCCAGTCTGAACACTACCCTCTGTTTCTTCAGATACCTCATGGTGGTGTGAGAGATGTACACATGCACAACACACAACTGGAGTGTGTGCGTGCTTTCTGGGAAGTGAGGAGCTGTTTTAACCTGCTGCTAGTTTTAGCCCAATTTATTCCAAAGCTGGTAATTTAAGCAAGAGGTGTTTCCGCATACAGGCATCCCTTTTTACTAACCGATATTCTCCTAGTCATCGTGCAGAAGTCAGCTCACTACTGCTGGCATCCACAACAATGGCTAAAAGAGGAGTGGGGAGAGTAATTCAATTTATTGTACACATTCATACCTGTAAGATTTCATTAATCCCAAAACTGATTGGCAGCTCATAATGAGACCTGGTCCAACATATTTTGCGATCTTAAGTGGTTGTCTTGCATAATTCAAGCGGTGCAACACCAGGAAAAGCACTTGCAATGTTGGAAAAGGATGCTGGACAGAACAGTGAGATAGTGTGCTGTTGACTACAATCCAAAGTTATACTACAGCATCTTTTCCACTATCTAAAGGGATCCTGGAACTTTTTTCTTGGGCTAAATAGTGCTTCATCACAATAGGCACCCATAAACATAGCTTTATGCTTTATGCTGTTGAGTATGTTAGCATTGCCTTCCCTCAAGATCAATGGGACCACTAAGTACACATATATATGGTTCTGCTGTTAACATCCTTGTTTATACATTGATTATTGACACAAAGTACCAGGAAGTTTATTCATTGGAACAAGATAAATTGCAAGCTTCGTTTTACCTTGCCTGGGTTCTGTTCTTTGAAGTGAGACATTTCTTGGAGAAAGACAAAGAAACTCATCATTGCTTCTTCCATGCACTGGTTCAGCCTGATCCTGTATTCAGACTTGGAATCAATGACTTCCCAGCTGAAAAATTAAAACAAACATTAAAAACTCACCAACAAATAAAACAAACAGGGACTTTGCTCTCAAATAATTTCACCTTTTTGTTACTCAGCAAAACTAATCCTCAGCTATAGCCATAATATGATGGTTAGGCCCCTCCTGGAGATCAACTTGCTGCCCCGAGTGCTGGGTCCGACTACTCTCATAGGTCCACCTGCAACTACACATTTGTGCACAAAAATGTAGCATATATACAGAAGAAATGCATGTTTCCATCTGCATGCCAGGAAATAGAATCAGCTCCCTGATATACATACAGACAGCAACAAATACACATTTGCCACCCCCTAGCTTGTAAAGTGGCACTCAAACACCAGCCTTGTTTAAAGACAGCAAATGCAACTGCCACATCTTAAATTGTACTTGACATTTCTGCACAAGAGCTTTTCCTGCTCTCAAAGGTTTTTTTTTTAATCCCTCAACCACTTCTGTCAACGCTGGGCAGGACAAGAACTTTGCCACTCAGATTTACAGCTTCTATTCTTATATATGTTGCAGAAAGGCCTGAAAGCTCAGTGGCAACAAGAGGCAACAGGTGAACAAAATATATGGCCAAAACTGTGTGGACGGTACTGAGCTCTTTAATTGCAACTGGGTATATCAAGGTATCAAAGCATCTCTTCCTGCCTATTTTCTTTTTAAACAAATAATAGTATTCCTTATTGCAAAAGCAGTCTAACCTGTCCAACCCAATCCAGTAGAAAACTGCCTTAAGGAGGCACAAGGCATTTGGAAATAACCACACACTTTCCCGCCCGTTTCCATGATTTCTACAATTTGGCAAGCACTAACAGTGAGGTGCGTTAAAACATACGTCTTGTTAAAACATACGTCTTTGCTCAGCTGTTTCCCTGACGGTTGATGCCAATTTTTAACGATTCTGGTAGTGCACTGATGGCTTTAGGAATGTTTTATTCCTTAATATAACAAAATGATAAAACATCTACTTGGTTTTGTTTTGCTTTGATTATTCACTGGATTTTTTTGGGGGGTAAAGTGATTTCTATGTTGCTTTTATTTTTTAAAAATTTTTTGAAAGTGGCTTACAACAATAAAATGTATTTGACTGGATGTATAAAATTTGGATTTATAAAATAATGAGTGTGGTTTGGAAATGGTTTTAGTATAAAATAATTGGTTTATCACCAGATCAAAAATCAAAGCCCTAAGAAAACCAAATCCCTGTGCCCCTCTCCTGCCTCACCTGCAGACCTTGAGATACATAGGTAAGGATTATCACCCACTTTAAAATGAAATATTATTAAGCTGATCTCTTTCTCCTCCTGCTGTTGCAGCAAGCAAGCAAGCAAGCAAGCAAGCAAACAAACAAACAAACAAACTGTGTGCAACATTTTGTTATTTAAAGCTTATTCAGATGCTGAGTAATGCATGCATATCTGGGCAGTAGAGCCGCACCTGTCCAACCTGTCCCCACGCCTGGGCCTACCTGGTATTTGTGCCACATAATTGGTGCCTATGCATGTTAAGCCTCCTAAAGCATTAGCTTTATCCCTCAAAATTGGAGAAGCAAAGACTCTGTTACTAGGCTTGCATGTACTGAAAACTGACACAAAAATTTTAATCAGGTGACAGCAAAAACTGCATTTTTTTTAGCAGGGGCAATTAGGATAAGATCTATTTGATTATTGATGTAAACCTCTAAAATGTATTTTGCATAGCTAAGTTTTTACCTTTTTCTTCAGTACATATAATGAAATGATTTTAGAATATTGTATTATTTTACTGTTGTTAGCCACTCTGAGCCCGGCTTTGGCTGGGGAGGGCGAGATATAAATAAAATTTTATTTATTTATTTATTTATTATTATTTATTTTATTTTATTGCTGTGGCTAGCAGCTGATGCAAATAAAGATTCTTCTGATCTGATCTGACCTTACCTAAAAGTTTCTTTTTTCTTAAACAGGCACTTGAATCTCATAAATAGGTGCTGAATTCTCCTTCCATCTGCAAATGACTCTTCATAGGGTCCCTGCAACCTTCAGGAACAGCTTTTTGTAGGGTACATGGGGTGAGGTGGGAACAGGATCCCAGGAAGGCCTCAGTACACACTGTGGACTTTTAAAGCCCTAAATGACCTTGTCCCAGGAGCATCTCCACCCCCATCATTCAGCCCAGATACTGAGGTCCAGCTGCGAGGGCCTTCTGGCAGTTCGCTCACCGTGAGAAGTGAGGTTATAGGGAACGAGGCAGAGGGCCTTCTCGGTAGTGGCACCCGCCCTGTGGAATGCCCTCCAATCAGATGTCAAGGAAATAAACAACAATCTGACTTTTAGAAGACATCTGAAGGCAGCCCTGTTTAGGGAAGTTTTTAATGTTTGATGTTTCATCATGTTTTTAATATTCTGCTGGGAGCTGCCCAGACTGGCTGGGGAAACCCAGCCAGATAGGCAGGGTATAAATAATAAATTTATTATTATGATTATTATTGAGGGACCTCCTCCTGCTGCCTCACAGCATGCTGCCTGAGCTCACTTTCCCCTTCTTGTGAAGAGGCCTTTAGTAAATTTCCATCACATTCTTACTTGCCTGTCCCAGGATAAATCCTGCCCAGATTAGGAGGCTATGCATGCCCATACAGACAGAAATATTTAGCAAGCGAAGTGAAATAAGAATGTTTGACTTGAAGTTTTGGCTTTCTTCTGGTGAAAGCTGCTTAAACACAGAGGGACACACACTCAGGATGTCACCTAGCAGTTGTGACAAGTGTTGCAGTCCATTCCCAGCGTGGGCCAGAAGATTCAGTTCTATCAGGTTCGCTGAAAATGACTAATGGTCTCATGCTGCCAGTTTGTAACCAGACATCTGCTCCAGGCAAAATAAACCACTGAGGTTTTCTTAGAAAGGTCAGTAACATCTCATATTACCGATTTAAACTCACACACACACACACCCTGCCGCCACCCAAAGCTGTGCTGGAATTTTGTAGTCACATGAGCTGGTTAGTGTCTGCATGGATGCTCTAGTTTTGCTCCCAGTTAGGATGAAGTAACTATGACGTGGCAAATAAGGGATTATAAAAGCACAAACAAAATGCTAGCAATTACACTGCTTCCGGTATTCCCAACACCTCTAATAGCTTGAAAACAGAGATGAATATTCACCACCCAATTCAGCTTCTCATTTTGATCTGTTCCGTACAGTGACAAACTGATTCCCCACCCCCACTCTGCTCCTTTATTCCCAAAGGCTTTATTTGCTAACAATTTTTATTTTAAAATTGGAAAGGCTGTTCTTGATCATGACTTGTTTTTTAAACCCCCGCTGAATACAGAAATGCAAGCATCTATGAAGCATCTTTTGGGCTGAATTTGTAGGAGTTTCTAGTAAAGTGGCAGCTTGACACAGAAAGTTAATAAGCACCCCCCCCCATTTCTACAGATTCTGTTAGGGATAAACATAACACATAAAGGTAAAGGTAAAGGTACCCCTGCCCGTACGGGCCAGTCGTGTCCGACTCTAGGGTTGTGCGCCCATCTCACTTAAGAGGCCGGGGGCCAGTGCTGTCTGCAGACACTTCTGGGTCATGTGGCCAGCGTGACAAGCTGCATCTGGCGAGCCAGCGCAGCACATGGAAACGCCGTTTACCTTCCTGCTAGTAAGCGGTCCCTATTTATCTACTTGCACCCGGGGGTGCTTTTGAACTGCTAGGTTGGCAGGCGCTGGGACCGAGCAACGGGAGTGCACCCCGCCGCAGGGATTTGAACCGCCGACCTGACGATCGGCAAGTCCTAGGCGCTGAGGTTTTAACATAACATAACACATATGATGACATAAACACATAACTCTAGAATTTGTCAGTTGCTTTTCTAGCATCTTTATGAAAAAGATAGAAAAGCAACCTATTAAAGCAGAACGAGACTCCTCTTTTTTTTTTTTAAACCCCAAAAAGCTTAATGAATATCTGTTATCACAAAGAACCAGTGCTATTTTTCTATAAAACGAGCTCACCATGAGCTTCTCCCTCCTTCTCTTAGAATGGCAATGGTGCCCACCTGAGAGCTGATTAAAAAGCCCTGCAAAGAACTACCAAAATTTCTAAAACCTTATCACCATTGATTGCACCACCATTATGCACAACACTTTATCAATATGCGTTCATCAATATGCAAAGTAAGCAGCTCATCCCTATCCCAAAAGGCTTGCAATCCAATTACGAGAGGACTAGGAGGCTGAGTCAGACTTTGTAGAAGCATTACATTTTGAAGAGGGATTTGAAGGGATACAGCAAGGTGATTCTACTACTCTTGTAGAAACGAAGCTCAGGTAAACAATCCCTGATTGCAAAACAGTTCATGAAAAAGTAAGTATATTAAAAATGTTCTGAATAACCAAAGCCTGAGAGATACCTCCCTCAAAGCAATGACTAAAGTCAACTGATGGCCCCAACATCACAGGACCAACCATCTCCTTTTCAATCCCTTGAAAGGAGACTTCTTCAGCTAAATAAATAGCAAATCTTTCCCTCTTCCATATCTGCCTTTGCAACTGTATCAGACTGGCTACATATTAAAAAAAAATACAGGGAGGAATTCAACTTAGTGTTAAGGAGATCTCTTCATCAGGGCAAGCATTGTTGGTTGGCTGAAGGAACTACCTCCTTTCTCCTTCCCCTGTGTGCTGTTCTTGAGGGTTTTCATGACTCCCCAGAACCAATTTGAGGAGGCATGTGGGGGGAGGAGAAGGCCTTTTGCTTGGGTTTCTGCTAGAGGGACCTATTAATCGAATCCTTTCCATTTTAACTATAAGTGAAGAGTACAAATACATACTAGAAAGATATCCATGCAGCTTCCTCAAGAGAAAACATAAATACATATAGTTCACTAGGAAGGGAGATTGAAGGTGGATTTATAAAGTCTCTGAAAGAAAAATATTTAACTGGTAAATAGGCAATGACAAAAGAAAGATAAACTAGATACTGGGTCACTGAAAACAGGAAGGAACCATATTACTCCAGATTTGAAGGGGAACACCCTGAACTGGGCCCAGAGGTAAACTGGGTAGTCAATGCAGCGGTTTTATAACAGGGGCTATATGTGTTCTAAAGGCAACTCCAGCCAGTAATTTTGCCACTGCATTTTGGGCCAGTTGGAATTTCCAAGTCATCTTCAAGGGCAGCCCCATGTAGAGTGCATTGCAATAATCCCATGTGGAAGTTACCAGAGCATGGAGTATGTTAGTTAAGTCATCTCTGCCACAGCTAGCAAACCAGCCATAGCTGGAAATAGGAACTCCAACTATTGAGGCCACCTGAGCCTCAAGGGACAAAGTTGGATCCAGGAGTATCTTAGCTTACACTTCCAGGAGAGTGCAAATCCGTCCAGAACAAACTGTCTTCCCACCTCCTGGACTTGAGAACGTGAAACACATAACACCTCTGTCTTTAAGGATTTTGCTTCGATTTTTTGTCCCACATCCAGCCCATCACTGCCTCCAAATACCCATCTAGCACCTCAGACACCTTTCCTGATTCAGATGGAAATGAGAGATAGAGCTAGATAACGTCTGACATTTGTCAATCAGTTTGTTCCAGAAATTGAACCAGACCTGTGTGCTTACTAAACACATTCTTATCCATTTGCCTATAAAGTGAGAGTGTGGGTACTTTTTATCCCAAACAGAGCACGTGGGGAGGCTTTAACAAAACCCCCATCTTAACATGTGCATGGTTAGGTATCTGCAATGACAGCACTGAAGTACAGTCTGTTAGGGAGAAAGATCACTAAAAACCTCAGGGATTTCTGCACTTATAGTAGTATACTAGCAGGTTTTTCAGATCTTGGGGCATGCTGCCACGCAGTGTTATCATTATTCAGCTAGCATTCCACCAAGGTAAAAAGGTAAAGGACTCAAGAGCTCAGTGGTTTAGACCACAGTGCCCCCGCCCCCCCCATTCCAGTACAAGCTACTAAAAACCTGCTCATTGTACCTCAAAAAATCCTGACTTTTATCAAAGTTCTGGAAAGCGGCATGTGTACAAGTATCATCCCGATTTAGGGGTGGGTGGGTGATGTAAGTGGTTTCACATCATTTCCGTCTGAATGGTGCAAGCTGTCAGTTTGGAAACTCAGTTCAGAGGAGAGATATGGCAGAGAGAGATGATGGCACTGAGTCAAAGTACTGCCCATGATAGCATTCATTAGCTGAAAACAACATCTGATCACAATAACAAAGTTCACTATACCTCAGGGAGACACGCAGTTCCTCTTCTAATTTCCTATACTTTTATAAGATGAGAATTCTAGAATACTGGGCATTAAATAAATAAAAAACAATGAACAACTATCTCTGTGTGCATGCTCATAATGTAGGCATTTACTGGCTGGAGGAACATGAAAGGGGTGTGACTACAGTCAAAAAACTTTTCTCAGCTCAGGCTCAGCTCTCCAAAAGTGTGAAAAGGACAACCCCACAAAAGCAACAAGTGACTAAAGGTGTAGACCATCAGCTACAAATTATTTCTTAAAAATGTCAGATCAAACAGGAACTATACTATTGTAAATGCAGAAAGATCCCTAGCTAAGAAAGAATGACAAACTTTTTCCAAGAGAAAATACCCCACCATCACCCCATTCCGATGCCAAGCACAGCAGCAGCAGCAGCAGCACAGTAACTGCAAATTTAAAAAAGAAATGATGGGAGCCATTTTGTATAGGAAAAATGATGCTTAATTTGTGCAATAATTTCCCTACACAGCAAATAGGTGTAGGAAAGAAACATTAACAGAGCACACTTTTGGAGCAGAAAAAAATTTGCAGTGTGTTTGTCAGACCACTTGAAATCAATGTACCTGATAGCGTCGGAACATTGATTTGTGTCACTCTTCCAATTTTATACTTCAGCTCCATGTAGTTTCTCCCTTTAAAACAGGGGTCAGCAAACTTTTTCAGCAGGGGGCTGGTCCACTGTCCCTCAGACCCTGTGGAGGGCCAGATTAGATTTTGAAAAAAAATAATGAACGAATTCCTATGCCCCACAAAAAAACCCAGAGATGCATTTTAAATAAAATTTCATGTAGAAACACACTTATATTCCTGGACCGTCCGTGGGCCAAATTTAGAAGGCGATTGGGCCGGATCTGGTCCCTGGGCCTTAGTTTGCCTACCCATGCTTTACAAGGTAACCACCCTCAGCACCTCATGACAAAGGCAGCAGTGAGAGTTTGGGTGGGTGATCTCAGAAGATTTGTGGGTATCAGGAGAAGATCTCCAAAATGCCCTTGTGACTATAGGATTCATGTTAGCAACCCCATGTAATAATAATAATGATAATGATAATAATTTTATTATTCATACCCCACCCATTATTTACTCCCCACCACTCTGGGCAGCTCCCAACAGAATATTAAAAACACGATAAAACATCAAACATTAAAAACTTCCCTTTACCACCAGTAATTACTTTCCTACAGAAGCCTTTTATAGGGACATAAATATACAAAGTAGTGGACGACTGGAAAAACCAACATCTGAGTCAATTCTAGCACTATTGCCTCGCAAACAAAATGAGACTTATGTAAGACACACAAACACCTGCATGAAGAATGGTTTGATCCACACAGAAATATACAATGTACAGCATTGTGACAATGTGCTGATTAAGACAAAAATGACTCATAAACTATTAAATGCAAGGACTTTGAAACTTGTCCCTATATAATATTTGTGCTCTTTTTTATTTACTGTGACAATTGGGTGGATTCAGAAGCTGAGAAAAGAGCACTTTACGGTCTTGGGGAGGGAAACTGGGGCACTGAGATGGAAAAGGAAACTCTGGAGGTGATAAATGGAGGTCGGGAGAAGTTGTGGTCCTGAGAGGCAACTGAGGCAGGGACCATCCAGGAGAGGGAAATAATTGGGGAGGGGGGAATTGAGGCAGGAAGATGGGGTTGGAAAACAGAGCAAGCAGGACCATATTAAATATATTAAACATGGTACATATAACTCATGGATGGTTAACATTTGTTGGACTCAAGAAACACATGAATCCTTTGCCAAGCTTCAATGCCATATGCTAGTAGTGGGTGTGACCAAAAATGGCATGGCTATCCTATACTCTCTCTGTCACACATGGTAAGTACACAGTACTCCCCCGTAACTGATCCATGCAGATCAGCTGAGTTGGGAGGGTTATTACCCACTCCCCATTATTAACAATTGACTGATCCAATGACTAGCAGGGAGGCGGGCTGAGTGTAGGGGTTTAAATCCAACCCAGAGATGGAAAGAAGATAAAATCCCTACCAGAGAAGAATGGGAGATGAAGTTAATGGACTATGCTGAAATGGCTAAAAAGACCGTAAGAGTCAGAAATCAGGAAGACCAAAATTTTAATAAGGAATGGGGAAAATTTATTGTAAATCACTGTAAACAGTTAAAATCGTCAGCAGGATTGGAAGATCACTCGTAGTTTAAGGTTGACTTCTGGACATAATGGAAGAGGCAAAGGATCTGGAGTATAGTAAAAGATGTGGGAGGAAATGATTAATAATAGGACCCACAAAGGAGAGGATGGAAGTCCAGGAGATTCCTAGGCATCTTGTTTTTATGATATATGTTTTATATATCTCTGTAAAATTTTAATTTGAAAAACCAAATTTAAAAATTGGTAAAAACAACAACAACCCAGAGTTATGTCTTTTAATTTTTTTTGCCACTGACAAAACTGATGAGGACTTGGCAGAGCATAACAATTTGCTGAGAGGGTTGCATCAGGCCCTGGGCTGTGGGTTAGCAACACCTGTTTTCGTTGGATATGTTTAAGTTCCTATATACAGCCCAGTCAAATTTAGCCAAAGACTATAAAGATAAATCACTTCACCCACATATTATTATTCTGATTAATTACCCACCCTTCACCCTAAGGTCCCTGGGTGGATCACAAGAATTTAAAACACAATGTTAAAAGCAGTTTAAAACAAATTACAATTACAAGATTGTATCACATTCGAGGACTGGGGAACAAAAGAGGGTTTTTTGCTTTGTTTTTTTAACTAAACCTTGGGAATACAAATGCTGTAAATGGCCTGTATTAGAGACATTCCTAATACTATGATTCTAGTGACAGACTCCACTGAACACAGTTTGAACCTGTGTAGGTAAAGACCTGGGTCATGGTGGAAACAAGGAGGTAGAACTGTGCGTCATCACCATGTTGAAACTTAACTCCAAACCTCTGCACAATCTCACCCCATAGCCTCACATATACAGTAAGTCACTACCCTCTGTGGTACGTGACACTATCCACAGAAGCCAATAAAAAACCCACACTACCTGGTAATCTGTTCACCGAGTCAGATTGGTATCTATTCTTTTCCTCACATTGAACAAGTTTGCCAACACTGAATTTTGAATTACAAGTGACAGGAACAACTAGAGAATTTCCAGGCGTTTATCTGTCCAAAGCATTAACAAAGTTCAAATGACAAAAAATAAAATTGTCTGGCTTATTTGCTACGCCTCACAAAACTTTATGTGTTTCTAAGATTAGTATTCCTCTTTTCACACATGTATACAATCTGAGCCCAGTGTGCCTTCCAAAGGTCTAAATGGGCAAAATATCTCAAGAATAAGGTATTATGCTGCTTCACAGGCACTATCAGCATATGCTAACCTGCCTTATATGCTTTCCTATGTTTAAATAATTGTCTCTGATCACAGCTTCCAAAAGAACTCATTTCTAGTCTTACCTATTTGCTTCACAATAATGCTTTAAGATCTAAAATGTCAAGTTCTCTAAAAAAAGAAAAGATTAAAAGTTGCACTGTACACCATTTGCTTCTTGACAAGACTGTTTCCAAATGAATCTTCTATTAAGAATCATGATTTTTTGGAATGAGATTAATTCTGACAGCACCCATCGTTTCCCATGAAGGATATATTCTGTCTCTCTTTTCAGTTTTAGGGGATCAATGGTTCAAAGGTGTTTTTAAAATTATTCAGAGCAATATTTTTGTCCTATGATTGTACTGGACTCTACTTTTGATCATCCATTTTGCTTCTTCAGTTTTATTTAGCTCTATTCTTTTGGTTTTGATTTCAGTGATCTAATAGGATAGGTACTCAGATGTATTACCTTTTCTAGTCTCAGATTTTCTGTAAATATATTTGGGTGTTTATGTGAGGGGGGACAGAAATTGGGCTCTTGAGAATTATACTGATTCAGAAGAAAATGAGATAGAATCAACAATATGTTTTATATCATGGGTGGGAAACATTTGCCCTTCCAAAAGTAATTGGAATACAACTCCCATCATCTACTGAAAAATACTGACTGGGGTTGCTGGGAGTTGTGTTTGGAGGGTGACAGGTTCCCCACTTTTTTTTTTGCACCCTTACAGCAGGCTAACCTGTGGCCTTCCAGATGTTGCTGGATTACAGTTCTGTCTGTCCCAGCCAGCATGACCAATGGTCAGGGATAATGGGGAGTTGAAGGCCAACAACATCTGGAGGGACACAGCTAATCCACTCCTGCCTTAATTTTTTTTGTTACGACCTGATATAGACTTAAGCTCTGACCTGAAGGAAGTATTCCACAGGCATTTCTCACAGGAACACTGTGCCCTTTCTAGTAGTAATACATTACATATCTGTCAATAACAGACTACACTGGAGTTATTTGTGTCTCTGACATTTCAAGTCTCTTCTGTTGGCAGCTTCATTGGAAGGCAAGCATGGGCAGTGACTTTTTAGAAGTTACAGAATGAAATGTTATTATCATAAGCTCAAAAACATGGCTGTTTGCACTCTTATTGCCATGCAAGAAACTTTATACACATTTCCACAGGTGTGAATTTATTTATAGGAGAGCTATGGCAAAAAACCAGTGGACATTCCTATGCTAAGAATCAAAGAAGCCAAACAACAAAATTCCAGAAAAGAAAACTACAGTACCTTTCGCTCGGTCCAAGGTCCTCACTTTCCGACATTCCTAACTTTTTGTCTCTTTTAAGTGTAAATCCAATGCTCAAGGAAAGTTTGTCTGTCTTCCTTTGAGCTTGAAGAAATCCAGTCTATGAGTCTCCTTTTGTGGCTCCTGTTAAGTCCCTCTGGTACAGGGTATATTTACACACATCCTAAGTGCCTGCTTGTCTTGAATGAAGTTCACAGTGTACTATTTTGATTGGCTAATTCCACGAATAAACAGGTCACACCTTATTCCAAATACTGTGACAGGCTCCTAGGCGGCAAGCACTGTCCAAAAGCCAACACTTTTATGGTCATGTGAGCAGTAAAACCACTACCCAGTTATTAACCTTTATTTGCCCGACTAGTTTGGAGCCTTACCTTCTCCTCTTTTGCTTGCTATGCCAGCCTCGTGGAAAAAATAATGACAACTTACATTTATCATCTTACACTTTCATCTAACCTTTACCAACCCAAGCTCAGTTTTTGGCTAATGTTTTTCTGGCCACCTCTACCAGTCACACTGCTAGCATACAGCCTCCCTGCTCCCATACTAGCCTCTTATGATCCAGTGACATCATAAGGAGGTGACATCATGGGAGGTTCTACATTTTTTCCAAGTAAATGTGGCTTCCTTCTCGGAACAGCAGCAGCAGCACATGAACATTTTACTTGGCATGTTCTCAAATGAGAAAAGCCATTTCCTAACATGGTCCCTTCTTTCCATGTGACAGGCAGAGTAGCTCAAGATTTGTGTTTAGCAGCAGATGGTCAGCACGCAAGAGATAGCCAACAAAAGCAAAACACAAGAAAGCAGTATAACATTTGAGTATCATCCTCGTAAACAATTGGATGCTTAACAGGCTTGAAAAATTCACCAACTGCTCCAAATTATGTCAGCAGGGACAAGATAAGAGCAGCCTTCTCACATCACAGCCCCATATTAATGAACTTTTGGCAGCCGTTAGTATTGACTCCTAGCAGCACTTCCATGAGCAATAGATAGTGACAATTACTACTATGAGATGCATGGGATAGCAGCAGGCACAGTCACTGTGGGGCAGGGAATGCCATGTTCCCTGCCACCTCAAGTGGGTTCTCACTCTGAATTTTCAGCTGCATTAACATTTCTATATCATTTTCCAAGGGAAAGCCATTTTCACTTCATTGGATAAAACAGGAACAAGGTTGTGCAGAGACATGCAAGTTATCAGATTAAAGCATTAAACACAACAAATCGCCGGAAAAAGTGGTTTGCTATTTGCACACACCTACCCTTGACAACTCGCTCCCACCTCAAAGAGGAACCCTTTGAAGTAAACTGAAAAGTGTGTTTTTGAAACCTCTATAGCAATTGAATATTGAGTGTTCTAGCTTCTGTTCACTAAAGGAAGTAGCAACATGGTAGGCAGTCAGGCCACGCCCCCCTATTTCACTCCCAGAGCTACAATTCTCAGAGTTCCCTGTGAAGAGGTTCTGATTGTTAAACCACTGACAATTTAACTCTGCAAGTGGAATAGGGGTCTCCTAACAACTCCCAGGACCAGGAATAGGCAAACTGTGGCCCTCCAGATATTTGAGACTACAATTCCCATCATCCCTAGCTAACAGGACCAGTGGTCAGCAACGATGGGAATTGTAGTCCCAAACATATGGAGAGCCGGAGTTTGCCTATGCTTGCTCAGGACCCTTAACAAACCACAGCTCTCAGAATTCTTTGGGGGAAACTATGGACTGCAAGAAGATCAAACCTATCCATTCTTAAGGAAATCAGCGCTGAGTGCTCACTGGAAGGACAGATCCTGAAGCTGAGGCTCCAATACTTAGGCCACCTCATGAGAAGAGAAGACTCCCTGGAAAAGACGTTGATGTTTGGAAAGATTGAGGGCACAAGGAGAAGGGGACGACAGAGGACGAGATGGTTGGACAGTGTTCTTGAAACTACTAACATGATTCGACCAAACTGCGGAAGGCAGTGGAAGATGGGAGTGACTGGCATGCTCTGGCAATGGGGTCACAAGGAGTCAGACACGACTAAACAACAACATGGCTGTTTAAAGTGGTATCATAGTGCTTTAAATGTGTCACGTGAATATGGCATCAGCTGGTATCTGCATGTAAGAAAGTGCAGTTCTGGTTACTGCTAGCAGCACACCACAAACAACAGGCAATTTTACTACCACATACAAGTCAGAATTATGTATACCTTAATATATGCCTCTAGATGCCTACATTGGATTGTAAACCATTCTTAGTCTAAGTGTACACTGTCAGGCTGACCACAGTAAATAAAATCCTATTTACAGATGCAACGACAAGCTACCCAATACAATGCTTTGTCAGAGTCACTTATGGAAAAAGTTGCCTTTTGTAGGTTCAGTATGAATTTAGCTATTTGATCTTTGGCTACTTTTTGAAGCTCATGAAACAAGAGTTGTCTCTCCAGAAGGCATTCCACACCTTCTTTGGGCCAATGGAACCTCAAAGTCAGATGCAAGGGCACAGCTTCATTTCTATAGGAAAACTGGTGGTGGTAAACAGACGTTCTTACGTGGCCATTGGTTGCAATTTCTTTCTCCCATTTTTATGGTTATATAGTTTCCCAATCTTTGTGATTCAGATTAAACAAGGAACTAAGTATAGTCGCTGGACATTATTAGATGGGATGAGACATATAATTTGCATTGTCAGGAAGCCCATTACAACATTCTACATGAGCAGTCAATCAGGATTGCAATTTCAGATATGGGCTTAGTGTACTTTGCCTTGCAGGTAGGTCAGAGACACTGGAAATTTCAATAGCAAGTTCCCATGCTCAATTCCTGCTCAGCAGGGCAAGGGTGTTCGACAGCTGACTTAACACAGCCTACAAACTGGCATACTGGGAGAGAGGAAGCAGATAACTCACTCCTGCTTTTTAGGAGTGAGGCATCAAACTTGGTGCTAGGCAAGCATTCCACATAAAGTGCCCTCTCCCTGCTCATCACCTGGGGCACTGGTGAAAAATGGGGCATTCAAGCAGGTTCAACAGAATCCTTGAGGTACATGCATATAAAACTAATTTGTGCTTTAAGAGGTGATCACCAGCATTTTGAGCAGCCTCTAGAAATGGACCAGCAGCCAGTGCAACTGTTTAAGAACTGCTGAGATAGGTTTCCTCTGACTGGTCCCAGTTAGTAGCCTAGCTTTTGCACATGGTGCCAACTGAATCATCTGCCTTCTGAGAGTGCAGATCTCTGATCTCCTATGCCTCTTTTGTGGTGGTGGATCTACTCAGTTGGCCTATTATATTTCCAAATGCTGGCTAATTTTTGTCCTCTGATCTTGATAGCTAGGCACAGCTGCTCTCAGGCATTCTCTCCCACCATCACTGTGTACCACTGGCTTAAAGATGATTAGAGGAGGAGACAACTTGCCTAGAGGTAGTGCAACGAAGCAGACAAAACTATACTGTGACAATGGTAGCGGCAAATAAATCCATTGCACAAGCAAACTGCCATGACCAAGCGAATCTAGGCTGCCTTAACATAATGTCCATCTACTTCGCAGGCAAAATTTGTTGTAATTGGTTCAACTGAACCAATTCAAATGTAGAGTTTGCAACATGCACTGCATGGTCCTGATTATTTGGAATGGTTTCAGCTGTTCTCACCTTCAAATGCTCTAAAAAGAGATATTTTACATGGCATTTCTTCTACATTTTTTTGGAAATGTACTTGCTGTTCTTGTGTTTTTAACTGTTTTTAATTATCTTCAGTATACATCAATGCTGTTCAGAAGATGATTAGTAAATTAATGATGATGATAATACTACTCCTGTATTATAATACATTTATTCTGACAGGTCTCTAATGCACACACAAAGCTCCTCATTAAACATAGGTTTCCTTATTTACAACAGTGTTGGAAACAGGTTTTGCACATTTAATTCAAATGCATGCAGCTCAACTTCCAATTGTACAAAGACTGAGACAGCCCATATTCACAGAGAATTCATCATGTTCAAGGAGCCTTGAAGTCAGCCTCAACCAGGAGACATTATCTTAGTGGTAACATACCAAGGTTAATTATTAATTTTTAAGAAAATAAAGTTCTGTATGAAAGCAGAGTTGTTTGCGTATGTATTAAGACCCCAGAGAAGCACACATGAAACTGCGAAGACTTGGCAAAATCCAGCCAAGGATAAGCACATTAAATTCTAGTGGAGAGATTTAGGGTAGCACTTAATTCTCCCATTAAACTCAATAGGACTTAAGTTATCCAACTCCTACCATTTTAAGTTCTTTAAATTATGCTTACTTGAAACTTATACCATTCAATTTTATTAGAATATAAACAGGTAAATACCTAATTTGCCGCACTAGCACATTCTCTGAAATTGTTACTAGCACATTCTCTGAATTTGTTACAGAAAGAAGTGTCACAGAGCAATGAAGGCACATAAGGGGCCACTGCTACAATGCAAGCTTAATTACTTATCAAGGCTGAATAAGCTTATCTGGAAGCATTATTGTTTCTTTGTTTGCGTAACACCGTGCCCTTTCAAAAAGGGCAGCACTACTGTAATGGAAACACAAAGCTAAACAGCTAAATATATGTGCCTTTAAAAGTTAGACATAAAATTGTGCGTATCAGCTAAAAACACCAAAATATCAGTAGTATGCAGGAGTAATACAAGCAACTATAACATGATTCTCAGATCCTATAGAAAGCCAGCTGGAACAGAAATGCTCTAGCAACACATGATCGTTGCCATGGTGTCCAAAAAAGCATCCCTGAAAATCAAACCCTATTCACGTCCAGAAAGGAAAGAAAGGAACCACCCAAGTCGGTCACACAGTTGGCCTGAATCACTAATCCAGATATTATTAGACCTGTCCTCTGAAACACTTAGAAAATGTGGTCTTCTAAAGTTTGTTGTTTCTAAGTGTCAACTGGAGCGTGCTACTGGCTACAGAAGGGGCTTTCCATGTAAACTGATAAAAATTTTCCTTAAAGGAAATATGTCTATGAAAGGGAATTTAGTATCCAAACAGTTTGGGCATATTTGTACCAGGGACAAATTACATGTCCTGTCAATTACAATTACAGTGGTACCTCAGGTTAAGAACTTAATTCGTTCTGGAGGTCCGTTCTTAACCTGAAACTGTTCTTAACCTGAAGCACTACTTTAGCTAATGGGGCCTTCCACTGCTGTGCAATTTCTGTTCTCATCCTGAAGCAAAGTTCTTAACCTGAGGTACTATTTCTGGGTTAGCCGAGTCTGTAACCTGAAGAGTCTGTAACCCAAGGTATGACTGTATAATGAGGGACTTCTGTTTTTGCTCATAATAATCAGAAGGAGAATAAGAAGAATTATATGAAATAGACTTTAAAGAGTTTTAAAAAAAAATATTCACATCAATCTACTGATTTGGAGGAGGTTTGTAAATGCCTAGTAAACACGTCACAACAGTCTGTAGGTAACTCTGCTTCTAGCAGGTACAGTGTGGATTGCAACAGGCGTGTGGAAGAGATTTGTGCAGCAGCACTCCATAGGAGAGAACATCAGTGGAAAGAAATACCTCTTTACCGTTTGCACCGTATAGGCTGCACAATGGGACTCTATGGCTCCAGCATGTCACTATTACCACAAATGTTTATCTACTCTGTTTTCAAGCCAATCATCTACTTGGCAATTTCCCTCTGAAGGAGTGCTAAAAGGATTCCTAGGCCAAAAGCTGACCAAGATGCCAGCTAAACCACCGCTAATATCAGTGGATAAATCCTCCACTGCATTCTGGAAACCAACTACAAATCAGCTACTTCTCATCATAGAGGGAAAGACCTTAAACTATTCTATACATGTTGAGAATATGACATAGTTATTACAGCAATAGTTCAAAACAGACATTTGGGTATTACACATTTCATAACAAAGCTTTATATCAGAAAGTTTGCGTAGCAGTCTGGACATGGGGACTGATCATGCGGCACCTGCAGAGGCCTTTTACGTAGGACCATCTTCATTCCTACTGACCTTATTGGGTGTTAAGATTTTCAGAGGGTGATTCTAAAGGTAAAAGGAGGTAAAGGACCCCTGGACAGTTAAGTCCAGTCAAACTTGACTATGGGGTTGTGGCGCTCATCTCACTTTCAGGCCAAGGGAGCTGGTGTTTGTCCACAGACAGCTTTCCGGGTCATGTGGCCAGCAGGACTAAACTGCTTCTGGCACAACAGAACACCGTGATGGAATACAGAGCGCACGAAAACATCGTTTACCTTCCCCAGTACCTATTTATCTACTTGTACTGCTGTGCTTTCAAACTGCCAGGTTGGCAGGAACTGGGACAGAGCAATGGGAGCTCATGCCGTCGTGGGGATTTGAACCGCCAACCTTCTGATCAGCAAGCCCAAGAGGCTAAGTGATTTAGTCCACAGCACCACCCGAATCCCAGGAGGGTAATTCTACTATCCTCAGAAGTGTGGTGCATGCTGGGCTGGGACGCTGCTTTCTCTGCGGCAGTTCCTAAATTGTGGAAGTGCCTCCCTACAGCCAATTGCTCCCTTTCTCAGGATACTGCTGTGCTGCTGAGTCCCCCCCCCCAAAAAAAAAAAACTTACTCTGAAGAATCAACATTGTACAGCTTTTGTTATGCTAAAGACACACATCTCTACTGTGGTCTTTTGACATTTTAGGTACAGTGGTACCTCGGGTTATATACGCTTCAGGTTACAGACTCTGCTAACCCAGAAATAGTACCTCAGGTTGAGAACTTTGCTTCAGGATGAGAACAGAAATCGTGCTCCGGCGGCACGGCAGCAGCAGCAGGCCCCATTAGCTAAAGTGGTGTTTCAGGTTAAGAATAGTTTCAGGTTAAGAACAGACCTCCAGAACGAATTAAGTACTTAACCCGAGGTACCAGTGTACTGTGTTTTCTGGGATCCACCTCTTTTGTGAAATTCACACGGTTCCGCTCCATTTGGAATGGTTTTGGTTGTTTTTTAGTTTTCAAAGTTTTACCTTTTTACAATTTTATATTATATTTCTAGTTACCCACCAGGGGTCCTTATGCTGAAAGGTTAGAAATTCAATAAATAAATAAACTTTCCTGTTGCTCACATGGTCCGTTTCTCCACCCCTCCCCAAGCTAGGTTTAAAACAGTATTTTTGTAGCTAATTGAGTAGGTTGCAGTGTGTACTTGTCATGTGTTTTTGTGTGTGGTGTTCACAACAGTTTCTCCAGTCTGCAGCTGTGCCCACAGGCCCCCCAAAGACTGGCAAACACACGAGTGCTTGATACATATTCAGGTATAAAAAGATCCCAAGCTAAAATCAGTCTTGCAGACACTGGGATTAGGGAGAAGGGCTTGCAGGGAATGCTGCCGAGAGCTTAAGCAAGGACAGACACTGGTGTTTTCTATAGCGGATTATAGTAGGGAACGTGCTACAAACAGAAACAGTGCACCACTTCAAAGTCGTAAGTGATTTATGGCACATAAACACATTGGATCTCTACCGTTTTCTAGGGAAATGGCTTCACAGAAACTGTGTTGTAATGTGCTGTGCTTCTATGCAGAGCTGCATAAAACACAATGCTGCATACGAGCAGAGGGGATGCTGAAACTCTTGAAAGGAAATAAACATGTTATTCTGCTGATGTGTTCACATGCTATGATAAGCTCGTTCCAGGACATTCCTGCCGAAGTTAGTGACTAATCAGAAGTGCTGCTGGAGAAGCACACCCTCCATGTCGTCATAACCCGGATGTTTGCACATGAACCTCAGCTGCTGCTGTTCCAGGTTCTTGTGCCTTCTGTAAATAATTCCCATAGAGTGTTTTGTAACCCAATGCTTGTGTTTCGAAAACCAGGATACAAGAAAAGGTCACAAGGCTACATTTTTATTCTCCAGTAATAGCCATTCTGGGCTCTACCCTTTTGTGCTTCACAAGCCTCACTCTCACACACTTTCCCGACTATTAAAAATCCAACAGCCACATGATAATCTTTCAAACTTCAACAAAGTCAGTCTTTGCCTACAAACAAATCAAAACCTTGTTTCTTCCTCACTTCCTCATTTTCTGTAAACAATTAATAGATAACATATAAAAAATGTAACTGAGGTTCAAATAAAAATGTACAAGTTTAAAAAACAAACATACCACACCTTTCTTAAACAATGGGAAAGAGGCTTCTATTCATTAAATTGTGTTCCTGTGAATCTTAGATCTCTGTGGAAGTATTTAAAATCCAGCCTTCTGTTTTCAATAGAGGTAGGAAGATAAGGAACAAAATAAAAGAGAACAAGGAGGAGGTGGTGGATATAAATTTATGTGCATCAGCTTAAAAAGGAGTCTGATAGAGTACCAGGTCTCCACAGTTGCTGTTCTGAGCTATGATGTTGTAGCAATGAAAACACTCCAGAAAGACACCTCCTCTGCCATTACATTTATGCAAAGAATTCATTTGCACATATTTCCAGAGGCAAAATACAAGAGTCAAACTCCTAGGAGTAAAGGAGCTTCAGAGGAAGAATACAACATGAAACAGGTGAACATGAAACAATTCATCAGGTAGTCCAATGCCATCACCCATGTGTTAAATCAAGGCAAAGGTGTTTTTTTAAAAAGTCACACTGTTGTTGTTTAGTCATTTAGTCGTGTCCGACTCTTCGTGACCCCATGGACCAGAGCACGCCAGGCACTCCTGTTTTCCACTGCCTCCCACAGTTCCGTCAAATTCATGTTGGTAGTTTTGAGAACATGGCCAAAGTATTGGAGCCTCAGCTTCAGGATCTGTCCTTCCAGTGAGAATTCAGGGCTGATTTCCTTAAGACTGGATAGGTTTGATCTTCTTGCAGTCCATGGGACTCTCAAGAGTCTCCTCCAGCACCATAATTCAAAAGCATCAATTCTTCGGCGATCAGCCTTCTTTATGGTGCAGCTCTCACTTCCATACATCACTACTGGGGAAACCATTGCTTTAACTATATGGACCTTTGTTGGCAAGGTGATGTCTCTGCTTTTTAAGATGCTATCTAGGTCTGTCATCGCTTTTCTCCCAAGAAGCAGGTGTCTTTTAATTTCGTGACTACTGTCACCATCTGCAGTGATCATGGAGGCCAAGAAGGTAAAATCTGTCACTGCCTCCATTTCTACCTGTGTTAAATCACACTACCTGTATTAAATTAGCTTACCAAATATCTGCTTATCTATGCTACCCATGACTGTTTCAATGGTTCCTTGCCACACTACAGGTGCTAATACAATTACCTCAGCAAGCTGGTACTGTAAGAGGTTCAAATGTGTGCCTACTTAACATATATTTAAGCTCTAATTATCACCAGATTCATGTTTGCATCTCCTTGCCATTCAACTTCACCTTACCATTGTCTCCTTTATATACCCACCAACTAAGAATTCACTAATGCATCTGATAAAGTAGTATTGACTCCACAAAAGCTTCTGCCGCAATACATTTCTTAGGTCTTTAAGGTGCTACACTTTGATTTGTTTTTGTATATGCTTTATGTCACGCACTCTCAGGATTCCAGTTCCAAGAGTTCCATTAATATCAGGTTGAGAGCGGGATTTCTATTTGCAAGGATAAAGATTTCCAAATCTTTCCTTTTTAACACAGTTAAAAACAGTGAACCATATCTGGCCACCTAAAAGGATATGTGCCCCCCAATTTGTTATTTAAAATATACACAAGGGGTTTTTATTAACCATTCTGCAGCAGCCTCGATCGAAAAGAGTTTGGGAAACATTGTTCTACAGCAGGGGTGGCCAACTCTCAAGAGACTGTGATCTCAGAATTAAAAACTGGCAGTGATCTACCCCCATTTTTCAGCTCATAGTTGTTGAGCTCTTTTTAGGGAGGAGAAAAGCCCTGTAAAAGCTTTGGGGGGGAGGGAAGTGTCATGGGGGGGGGTTAAAGCCAAGGGACAAAGGGGTAAAGTCACTCACAAAAAGATCGCTACAGATCAAAACACAGAGAAAGCTCCATCTTCCCTTCCAGAGATCATACAGCAATGGAGGGCATGGCGTAGGGGCCTGGCAGGAATAAGTTTTAGCTGCACTAAGGAAAGGGAGCCAGAGATCCACCACGATCTACCAAAATCTAGATACAGTAGACAATAGGAAAGGGAAATAATACTCTGCTGCCCTCTACTGGAACTTCACACCAGCTTCCAAACATATGGCACCATTCCCTTAAAACCAAAAGCAGAGACAGTTGGAAGAGCCTGCAAACCCCCAGCAAACAGGCATGCTTCCACTTGTTCAAAAGTAAGCAACTATGGGCAGGGTCCATTTTTTCTTTTAGCTTCTGTCAATGATGCTAATCATAGCTATGTGCCCAATTAGTGAGACGATATGAATGTTAGATGTTGTCTGAAGGATATTGTTATCTAAAACACTTTCAGTTGTGCCCTGTATTGACAACTATGGAAGGCAGAGATGGGAGGGGGCAGAAAGGGGCTGAGAAAGTGCATGAAGTCACACACACACACACACACACACACAAAATCACTGCTGATCTGTGACTAGAAGTTTCGTTTATTCCTGCAGCCCACATAAAGTGTGGTAAGCAGATGAAACATTCACATATTGTATAACAGAATAAAGGATAGAACAACTGAGGAGTGTCAGGAATATGAAAAGTACAGTGGTACCTCTGGTTACGTACTTAATTCGTTTCGGAGGTCTGCTCTTAACCTGAAACTGTTCTTAACCTGAAGCACCACTTTAGCTAATGGGGCCTCACGCTGTTACTGCGCCACCGCCGCACGATTTCTGTTCTCATCCTGAAGCAAAGTTCTTAACCCAAGGTACTATTTCTGGGTTAGTGGAGTCTAACCTGAAGCGTACGTAACCTGAAGGTACCACTGTACCACAAAAAGACATGGTACAACTTTGGAACAGACAATACAGGTGTGTTCAGATATAAATAAACCCTCACCTCTTTCTTCACTCCCTACCCTGCACTTTGATTCCTATCTAAGATTCTTGGCACTGGCATGTACTGTACCAGAAAATAAAATGCACGTAAAATAAAATAATAATAAAATAAATGATAAAAATAAAATAAAATAAGTCATGAAACTACAAAAGAAAAAAGGTAGAATTTTATCTGAAGTCAACAAGAAGGTCACCTGAGTCTACCATGATCAAATGCAATGCACCACAATGGTGTATTGAAATCTGAAAACCTGGTTTTCCATTTTGAGTTAGGAGTGAACACTGGTTAACATTAATCATGAAAACGTAAGTACAGGCATAATGCTGAACCGTGATTAATGGTGACAGGGGAAATGGAGCACATGGTTTTATAGCTCATTCACAATACTTCCACTGCTGGGTTAAGGGATGAGCCACGTTACAAATCTCACTTTATCCTTTTTGTGCACCAAACTGCCACACACACATAATGCAATTACAATATTGTAGGTATTGGCTCTGGTGTACAAGCCCGTATAAAGCTTGGGATCAGGATACTTAAAATATTTCAAGTAGACTAACAGGACTAGAGGCTGCAAAGCTCTAGGTATTCCTAGAGGGTATCTAGGTATCTAGAAGGACCTTGTCAATACAGAAATATGGGTACGAGAATGTCCTATAAATAAAGGCTAATCTAGACAGCAAGTAAAATCTATTCTAGAGCTAAAGTGTTTAGAAACTCCAGCAGGTACAGAATGCTGCAGCGAGGCTCCTCACAGGGTCTCTGCCATGGGAGCATATTCACCCAGTGCTTTTCAAGCTGCACTGGCTCCCGGTGGAGTACAGGGTCAGATTTAAGGTGCTGCTTTTGACCTTTAAAGCCCTTCACGGCCTAGGACCCTCGTACCTACGGGACCGCCTCTCCTGGTATGCCCCATGGAGAGCCTCAAGGTCCATAAATAACAACACCCTAGTGGTCCCAGGCCCTAAGGAAATTAGATTGGCTTCAACCAGAGCCAGTGCCTTTTCAACTCTGGCTCCGGCCTGGTGGAACGCTCTGCCTCATGAGACCAGGGCCCTGCAGGATCTGATTTCTTTCCGCAGGGCCTGTAAGACAGAGTTGTTCCGCCTGGCCTTTGGCTTGGAGCCAATTTGATTCCCTCCCTCCCTCTCTTTCTTTTTTCTTTTCCTTCTCCTCCTGCAATAAGGCTACATTTTAATATTTTAATGTTCCATTATTTTAATGTTGTATTTTATTTTTGTTTTTAAGTTGTAATCATTCATCTTGTTTTTATTATTGCTTGTAAGCTGCTCTGAGCCCGGCCTTGGCTGGGGAGGGCGGGGTATAAATAAAAAATTATTATTATTATTATTATTAATGTCCCAATACCAGTTTAAAGTTCTAATATTGAGTAGTGACCAGCAATATAACACTAACACTTACCGGTCAGTGAGGCTTCTCCACAATTGTGCACCTGAAAACAAGATAAGGATAAATAAGATATTTTTCCACATATGGTCCAATGTTTATAGTATATGCACATATTCTCTTGTATTAACTAAACTATAAAAATGCAAAATTGGGGCCTGATGTTCTACTGAAAGAAATCATATCCCACTGTGCAAACACGAGCCCTTGAACAAACCTATACTATAACTCTAGAATGTGGTCTTGGTCTACATACTATAGGAGACTGGTGCATTTGAATATGTCAAATAATAAATGTATGCAATAGGAGACACTGTTCAGAAAGTCTTTAGCAAGCTAATAATATTAACCTACCTTTCTACTTAACATAACCCTCACAGAAGCTTACCATAAAATTTTAGTACTGCAGTTAGAAGGATAAAGGGATATTGACAGGTTTCCATACATTGCTGATAAACATTTGCATGTTCAACAGATACTGAAGCAGTGTCTTACCTCTTTCTCTAGACAAGACCAAATCCTGCATGATCTGCAGCATTACAACGCCAAGGAGTACATGTGAAATTAGATGATACAGTCTCCAAGGAGTCAGTGCAAGGAACCTAGGAGGAGGAAGAGAAAAACCATTTTACCATGCAGATATATAAGGCTTTCCTTGCCATATGAAAGCACAATAGCAAGTCAGGTAACTTAACGTCATAAAGAGCCTCCCCCCAAGCTGGTGCCCTCCATCATTCCTGACCACAGGGAATGATGTGCGAGCGTGGTGGGAGTGGGATACTGAATATCTGAAGGGCTGACTAGCTTGGGGAAGGCTGTCACTGATGAAGGAGAAAGGCCTAACAGAGTTAATCTGGAATTAGGGAGTTAAAGGTATAGCGGGCCATTATCATCAGACTGCAGAGACTAATCAATGGGTTCATGACACAAATGTCACTTCCCTACTCCACAAAAGGTAGAGTATCATAGCTGGTGAGTCTTAACAGAACTCTTAGTCACTATACTACGCCAGCTCTGTCAAGACTCATCAGCCATAAACCTCTACGTTTTGTGGAGCAGGGCAGCACCTGTCTCACACTTGTGTCATGAACCCCTTCCCTGACCTGGTAATAAAAATGTCCATATTACATAGCTGCTGTAAGGCTATGCGATATAATGTGAAACACCAGGAAAAAGCCTGACCAATACAGATTATTATGCTGGTGAGCAGGAAAAGGGGAGATTTGTCAATGAAATACCAGACGGCCCCAACTGACAAGTTTTAACATCTGGTAGACATGGCTGAAAATGCTACACCCAACTATAAAAAGCAGTTATTCATTCAAACACTAATTACACTCAAGTTTCTATCTTCACGGTTGCACAAAAAAGCTTCATATGTTTGTGAGGAGCCCTTACTAGCTCTCATTTCCTCTCCTCCTTCCTTTTTCCTCATTGAGATTTATATTCTGCTCTCTGCTTGGTGACAACACTGATATCATTCTGGTATTAGGCAAAGGCTTAAATCCCCCGCCCGCCCGCCCCCCCAAAAATTCTAGCATGCAGTGTAAGTTGTTTGGAGCATGGTTTTATCTAGTTGTGCTGCTGAACTTCTGTGACCACTACTTTCTGTTACATTCATTTTTAATGCCAATTTTTAATACTGAATTTTATATCTGTGGTTTTTTAAAGAAACAGGTACTCCACCTTGAGAACCTTATATTGAAGGGCAACCTAGAAATAAGGCAAAATAAATATTTACCATTGATTCGATACACATTGCTCATGACATAACTGCAGTTATTTTCAATCTCAATGAACCCCTTCCGAGATAGAGAACTGGGCAACATGCTATGCTGCTATCCTGGAAAAGCAGTCTAAAAGGAGAACACGGCTCCACCAGCTTGAGATCATTTTCTAAAGCTGTTCTCCAAATCCCTTTTTTATTTCTAGAAAATCATGGAAGTTCCTTCCCACTAGCTGCCTCTAGAGCAGGTGAGGCAACTTTAGCCCCTCCAGATGTTGCTGAACTAGGGACAGGAGTTTTAGTTTAGTAACATCTGGAAGACCAAAGGTTCCCCACGCCTGCTCTAAAGGCAGGAAAAGCAATACAGGCTTGAAATAGTGACTCCTGGTTTGCCTTTTCCTGAAGAAGAGAGCCCCAACTGCCATACCCATCTTGAGAGGAGCACATCTCCTTGCAAACAGGAAGGTGTCATCATCCCCGGCTGGCCTTTTCCATTTATATTTATCCTGCAGCTTACCTTTCCTAGCCAGCAGTGGAAAGGAGAGAGACAAAGAGGCTAGCGGTTACTCCTCTCCTTCAGGAAAGAGCTGCTTCTGTCAAGAGTATGCAGTGCCTGCAACTTTTGTTTTCTTGGAGGGGAAGAACGACACAGGGCAAAGCAACTAGACATCCAGTACTCTGACTCTTTTCTGCCATCAGTGGCAGCTGATAAGAGGAAGCCTTCAATTTTTATATACAAGCCAGGAGCATGGCAGTTGCTTTAAAAAGTCAAGGGGCTTTGGGGTAAAATGTAGACATCAAAAACATCTGGAGAGGGACACAACGGATGGGAGCTTAATTGGGTACTATTAGAAGCCTCTAAGGCAAGGTCGGGGGGAAGTTAGATTTATATTCTCATTCAGCACCAAGTACTCTAATAGGCATATTGGAAAAGTGTAAAGAATCAGTCTGGTAGCATCCCTGGATACAATGTCTATAGGAAAGACGGTGTAGTGTAGGGCTTAGCAGGGGCATGCCAAAGAAGGCATGGAGTGCAACATACAGTACTAGAAAACTTCTAATAGGAACAAACAGGAACTATGGGTATGAGTGCCAGATGCAAAAAAATAAAAAAATAAAAATTATGCCAGAGATATTATTGCTCTCCTGATCAAAACAGTGAAAGTGGTCTTCAGATGGGTGGTGGGGAGTCAGGATCCAAAGGAGAAAGTTTTATAATAATCAGTGTCTTCAACTTCTTTCACAATGAGTGAGGAAGATGCACATTTGAGTAATCAGAAAAATATTTCCAGATGCAATCCATGACTATCCCCATGAACCCTTCCTGGCCATAGTCTTGAGTGGTGCGCAGTGCCTAGTACAAGATTTCAGAGTACTCAAATCAACTGAGAACAGGGATCAAAGTGCTAACAAGTTCAAAATGTATGTCCATGAAAAAGTTGCCCAAAAAGCTCAACAGAGTCACACTTTATTTCAAAAGACAAAACATCTCAGAAGTGAGAGGGTTAGTGAAAAGGAAGCTTGTAAGAGAGCGGAGGTTAGCTCTTTTCCAAGACGCTTGGAAATAAATTTTAAAACCATCAATCAAATGCTCAGCTAGAATATATGCAACAAACAAGGAAATGTACCAACAGGGAGGCCGTGCAAATCTCCCCACGCCCCAAGGACTGCCAACAGATCCAAAAGGATGCAAATATAGTTGACAACCAGAAGCAAGAAAGTTATAAAAAGACTGCTTTCAGAAAATTTGGCTGGATTTCAATCCAGCTCACTCCCTCCCAAATTGCTTGCAATTGAACAGCCCAATGTCTGCATGTTTCTTATTCCCTTCCACCTGGAACCTCATGTCTATTCAGTCCAAGGGCTGGGAAGAAAGGTGCAGCAGCTGTGCCTCGGGTGAAAATGGAAGCCCAAATAAGAAAAACAAAAGGGAGCAAATACGTTGGCAAATGCTAATTGACAATAAGCAATAAAAATAAAATAATGTGATGGACATATTTAGAAAATGTTTAAGACCAAAAATATAAAATGTTTGTAAATATGTCAGAAGCAGGAAACCAGTCAGCATGGCATTTGAGCCATTAGACAACAATGGAGTGCTTGTGGAACACAGGGATGTTTTTTCTTTATATTTATTAAGCTTACAAAAAGATAATTAAAATCACAGAGTAATCGAGTTACAAAAACTAAAATACCAGCAATTTAAAATACAACTAATAAAATACGATTCAATAGAAAGCAGTCTGAAACAAGCCTTAGCTGGTAAAGTGTACTCTTAGCAACCAACATTATTTGCACCTTCACTGATAGTTCCTAGTCTGGGAGAACTCATTCACCCCCCAAAAAATGAGCTGCAAGGCTCCACCCAGACTGGAGCTGGTTTGCCTTCATGCACTCCAAACCCAGACCCCTGTCCAAATCTGCACAGCCTTCCTGGGGCTAGTAGCTGGAAAAGAGCCAGCATTAACCAAGTAACCAACTAGGAAAGATCTTTAGGTCATGGAAGGTAGCTCAGTAAAAATGTCAACTCTGCATGCAGCAGCTGTGAAAAAGGGCAAATTCCGTATGAGGATCATTAGGAGAGGCTTGAAAACAGAACTGGCAGTACCACAATGCTGTCGTACAATCTATGCACATGTGCATAATGCTGCTTGCCCTGCCTCCAAAAGCAGAGGAAGGTGCAGAAAAACACAACAAAGGTTATCAAGAGAATCAGCCGTATGAGGAAAAGCTAAAGCTTTCAGAATTTTTTTAAGCTGAGTGGGGAAAGCATAAGTGGAAGGGTATAATGGAAGTTTGTATAATTATGCATCATGCAAAGAAAGACGAGAGTAAGAAGTCCATCTCTGAACACTGTAGAATGCAAAGAAACTGGTGGTCAGCAGGGTTAGAACAGTCAAAAGAATGTATTTCACATAATACAGTACTGGAATTCCCTGGCACAATAAGTGGTAATGGCCACCGGCTTAGATGGTTTTTAAAGATTAGACAAATCCACACAAGATAGGCCTATCAGTGGCTATTATCCAGTTTCAGAGGCAGTACGCCTCTCTATACCAGCAACTGGGAATACAAGCAAGAGTGGGTATTGCTTTCAAGCCCTGCATATGGGCTTAATGGAGGCATCGGGTGTGCTGCCGCTGAGAAGCAGGATGTGGAACTAGATTTTGGTCCGATCCAGCAAAGCTCTTATATTCTTATAGCTGTTTCATAAGAACAGAATAGTGCATAACTTGTCTCAGATGATGTTCCCATCCTGCACATGGTTAGGCTCCTTGAATCCCATTGACTTGAATGGAACTTATAGCAATTATAGCAATGACCTTTTCAAGTGTTCAGAACAAACTGTGATTCAGAATAGAGAGATGCTTGCTGATTTATTTATTTTAAAAAAACCTATAGAGCTTCTTGGGATAAAGAAATACATTCTGAAATGTTTATTGAATTAAGAGATACATGGAAATCCCTTGGCTAATGTTCTAAATTTAGCATCTTAAGCTACAATAGCTTTGTCCCTAATCTAATACTTATTGCTAGAGACAAGAATGATACAAACAGCGTCACACGGGTACTTAGTTTCTGTAAAAGCTAGCATGTTCTCTGGTGAAGACATCAACCTCCTGCAAAAATGCATGTCATTTCAGTGACCTACTAGAGATGAACAAAAACAGAAATTAACAAGGAAAGCCTGGATTCTTACAAAATAGTCTGCCATCCAGTTGCACTCAAAGGGTTCTGTACCCTCTCCCAATTCTGTTTCTATGTTCTAAATAACCCTCTTACAAAGATGCTTTTTATTTTAAAAAAAGGACCTGAGGGCTTAGTTACAAGCATTTCCATGTAATGCTGTGGTTAGCTTCTATAACTGTGAAGAGCTACTGTTCTCCCACCTCTCCTTTTTATTTCAATAGAAAAACATAACTGTTTTGGGGGATGTGGGGTGGGGATTAACTGGCTTCCTTACATCTAAGCCAGTAGTGAGGAACCTCTGGCCCATAGGCCTAATTAGTCAGTGATGCTGTTTCAGCCAAGCCACAACCACCTGCCTATCTGTGGGGCAAATAAAGTTGTGGCTGGTCCAAAAGGGAGTTTGTGGGCACAGACTATCGTCTATTTGGTTGGCATTACCTACAAAGCCTTGTGCTCAGTGCTTTACAAATGGCAATGAACAGCAGATCATCAAGACTTACAAAGTGCTGTGCACCCACACTATTTGATTCAGATCCATGCAGGCAAAAATGGCTCACCTGGCTTCACTGTGATTTCAGGTGATTGACAAGTGTGTGGCATGATGATAGTAAGTATTTTTGTGGGTTAATAAGTTGCAAGGCTGTTACAGGAGAGGCAACATAGAAAGCCCAAATCAAGACAAAAACGTGTAGATGCTTCTAAGTACCCAGCTATAGGGCCGGACAATCCAAAGTTACAAAAAAATAAACTTGGAACCTATTAAAAACCCAGAAGCATCACCAGTCTAATAAGCTTAAAAGCAAGTTTCTTAAGTTGTGCAGGTATTCATGGTTTGCACTGGTATATGGGATGTAGTGAAACAAATGACAAAATCAATGACCAACAGTAAAAAATAGGCAAACCAGAAGATTAATGTGTAAACAGAAGTAAGGCATGTTGAATTCAATGGGCCTCAATCCCCACTTTAAGTGCATAGCCCAAAAGAAAATAGAAGGACTAGATGTAAAGGGGACTGCTTTTAAACCAGGAACTTCTAATTAACATCAGCTTTGTGTTTATCTGAACAGGTAAAAACTAATTACTCACTTTGGAACAATCCAGGATCTTAAACCAATGAGGCTTTAAGAAACTGGTTTGTTCTGAAGCTGGTAGCCATAGTTTCCTGAACAGATAAAATGGGAAACTATGGTTAATTAGAGACATCCTGGTTTAATTATAGCTCGCTGCAGAGAGCAGCAAAGGGGCTGAATGTGCAGGCAGAAGGCTCATGTATAACTTGGTTAGCACTGTCCAAACACAGTCAGGGTGTCACAAACTTCTAATGTGTATATATTTGTTCTATTTGCACTGATATACCAGTCATATATTAAATGTATATACTACCCACTTAATAAAAAGAAAGAGGGTGGTTTAAAATAGATTTAAAACTACATCACCACAAGACTGCAGGGTGCTGAATAAAAGCAGAATTCTAAACAGATACCAGAAGTGGTACTGTAACATCAGATGTTAAAAAACTGTAGTGGGGAAATAAAAAGGTCCTTTCAGCACTGCTCAAAAACATCAGCATAAGCACTAATTAAGGCACACAACCCCCAGCTCAGTCAACATCAGCCCCCTGGGAAGATCCCAGACCATGTAGGTCTTTTATGTAGAAGCAGGCAAGTACAACATCTAGTAGACTTATTTGTACAGCTGGTTGCAATACACAGGCCCAACAGGTTACCCTAAAAAAATACCTAAAATACTTATTTTCTGGCAGTTCAGAGTCTACGTCTGTCACAAAGGATGGGAGGTTAACATACCCTAAATTGTACTTACTTAGGCAGCCTCAATTAACATACAGTACTAGGGAGCTTCAAATTAATCAAAGGACAAAGTGCTAATATTTTACACGATAATGAAGCTGCTGTCCAACTGAGGAGTACTAAAAACAGAAGCTCTCAATATTTAGCAAAACATTCTTATCCACTCTCCTCCATATGACATGTAAAATAATAGGAACATTCCTCTTCTTTACATAGATAACATACTTGCTGAAATATAAATTCTTCTGTTGCAGGGCCAGATTAAGACCTTTATAGCCCTAAGCACTGAAAAGAGTATGGTACCCCCATATGTTATTCAAAATAAAAAAGCATTACTAACCATAAAATAAACATTTTTTCAAAATGACACAAAACTTACATGTATGCTGAAATGTACATGTGCAACGCATGACAGGAACTGATTTCCTTGCATTATTTCAATCTAGGAGAGTAGGATGCCCCTTGGTTCAGGTGGGGATAGGTAATAAAAAGAGAACAGAAAAATGGGGGAAGGGTGTAGTGTGCAAGGAAGTCCAACAAAATTCTGATTTTTCCTATGATAACTACTTCAAGTTTTGTTTTTTTTAAATATCAGATGTCAAACTCAAAAAATTCTCTCCCTTCTTTTTTTGGTTCCCCACTTTTGCTGGTGCCCCAAGCATGTGCTCAGTCCTGCTTATTAAAAAGTTCAGCACCATGCAGATATGTTGCTAAGTAGTTCTGTGGTACATGAGCACTAGAAGGGTTGTGTATGTGTGTGTGTGTTTATGAATCTTCAAGCAACTCAAGTTAGTACTTTATTTAATCTCAAAATCTGAATCTACATTTGGGACATTGTATTAATGCAATTATACATCCGAGTCCATTGAGTATTTAACTTGGTAATGAAAAGCAATGACCCTAGGAATTTTCTCTTCAAGCTAGTGTAGGGGGGAGAGTATCTCAGTTTCAGATGCCACTTGAAGAAAAAAAGCACATGCTTCTTGTTTGGAAAAACACTAGCGGGCTAAAGGTTAAAACGAGAAGTTACCTATAGCACAGGGTTGGTAACACAGAGAAACAGAAAAACTAAAGAATGGGAGAAATGACAGAGATTGGTTTGGGCACCAGGAAAATAAGAGTATGAAGAATCTACTGGAAAGGGACAATTTCAAGCATAAAGCCAGCAGGCTGGCAGCCCAGGGCCAATCCATGACAAGAGAGTGGGAGAAACAGACTGTGCAATTTGGGGTGCTGTCACTCTGCTTTTTGTCAACTTTGCAGAATCACAAGGCAACCAGTATGCAAGATTATATGCTCTACTTTATGGGCACTTCCTGGTCATTATTTCACCTTGCCACATCTGTGCCCCACCTTCCCTTCAAACATTCTTCAGGAGCCTTTGATGCTCCCTGGCATCATCCAGCCACAGCTGATTCATCTTCACATTCTGCAACACGTCTCACAAAGCCCACTTCTTGGCCACTAGCACTGCTTTACCCTTTGTGTGGTTATCCTCCATCACACCCCACCCCGGCCAGGATCATTAATTCTTTCCATAGGTTTCCTTTCCCATGCTTTTCTGTAGGAAACATTTTGTGGCAACACCCAACAAACCAAAAGGAGCCTCTTTCAAAGCGAACACAGTTAAGAAGCGCTCGATTTAAATAGAAATACCAAGGATGGCAGAGCTCGATTTCTGCATCCTGGGGCTCAAATCTACCTGTATAACATATGCCTTCTGATGAAGAATGCTCCCTTCTCCATCTCTACCCATTGTGGAGATAAAAACCACATCAGCGTGGAGATAAAAATAAAATACATATTTATTCAATTTGCATGAGATAATTTATTCAATTTGCTGAAATTAAAAGCACTTCCTCCCACAGCACAGGTAATTAACTTATGGGATTCCAGTGCAGGATGAGCTTTACAGGATTAGGTAGATTCATGGAGAGCAAGCACACCTAACAGGCATTCACAAGGCTAGCAAAGCAAAGGCACTGTGCTCAGAGAAGGATGCTTCTTCAGTACCAGGGCATCAGAGAGAGAGGGAGGGAGACAGGAAGGAAGACAGATAGATAATAATATAAATATATATTAATATACCCCGCCCATCTGGCTGGGTTTCCCCAGCCACTCTGGAGAGAGGGACAGAGGCCAGTGTTGCCCGCAGCAGCCCTGACTATCATTCAAGGCTTGAAAACAACTGGTTGAAAACAACTGACAGAGAGAAACGGGGTGGGGGTGGCGATATTTTGCTTTCACGCCCCTCTCAGGAAACGTCTGAACGGGCGCTGCTAGTTTAGAAGCCAACGGCCGGGGCCCTTTACAACAGGCACTTTGCCCATGCTCAGATGCACCCTTCCCCCCTCCCAGCTCATTCGCACGTTTTGCAAAGCCCAGGAGCGGAGGGCGAGGGTGAGCCGAGGCTCAATCGAGGTGGGGGAAAAGAACGAATGAAAGGGGCACGCATATATATGTATGTTTCGGGAGGGGGGGTCTATAGGATTAGCGCAGTGGCTGCGCGTCTCTCTCACCAGAAGATCAGGTTGGCGCAGAGGAAGGCGGCCAAAGCGCAGAACGGCCTCCTCCAAGTCGCCGCCTCCCGCCCGCCGACGGGCTTCACTTCACAGCCCCCGTCCTCGTCCTCCTCCGCCAGCCGTTCCCAGTCCAGGCGACCCGGCGCCGCCACCTGCTCCTTCTCGTCAGCCATCTCGGTCGGGGCGGCTGACCAGAACCGAGCTGAGGAGGCGAGCCGGCTGGGCGGGGTTTGTGTACATCCGGGTACCAGGCACGCCCGCACGCCCCGCCTTCTCGGCTGCAGCAGACCAACCAGGAGCTTCCGACGCGGCTGGGCGGCGCCGGCGATTGGTTAGCTTGGAGAGAGAGAGAGAGAGAGAGAGAGAGAGAGAGAGCAGCGGCGGGAGCGCGCGCGGTGGCGGGAGTGGGGGGGGGGAGGTGAAAGGAGGAGAAGCTGGGCGTGGCGAGGCGGCGCGAGCGGAGTATAAATCGCAAGAGGCGTGGCGCGTGCGCAGTGGGTGAGTGGCGGTTTAGAATGTTGGGAGACGCCGTTGGGCGTTTGGAAAAACAAAATAAAAGCCGGGGACGAAGCTGCGCCTCACGCGCTGGAAAGGCGATAAGGGTGGGTGTTTTATGATTTCTACCACTACTTTTCTGGAAAATGCTTTCGGTGCTTTATAATTTCCCCTTTAGAGAGGGAGAAAAGGAGTCGCTGAGGGAAATGTACAATTCCATTATTATTATTATTATTATTATTACTATTAAGCTTTATGCATTTATTTCTTTATTTCTTTATACCTTGCTTTTTTCCCTGACAGGGACTCAGAATGGCTTACAGATAAAAATATGAACAGCTACATACCCTCCAACATTTCTCTGATGAAAATAGGGATGTGGTATTAATTTTATATATATATATAGCCAATTTATATATATATAGCCAATTTTATATATATATATATATTAATTTTATATATATATAGCCAATTTTTTTAAAAAAATACTTTTCCATAATTCTAATTTTATCATTTATACCCCACCCATCTGACAGGGTTGCCCCAGCCACTCTGGCAGCTTCAGTCAAGGTACCACGGTACAGTCAAACCTCAGAACTGGACCGCAATCCGTTCTGGAAGGACATTTGACTTCCGAAATGTTCCGAGTTCTGAGGCGCAGCTTCCAATTGGTTCTTGAACTCATTGGAAATCGCGTTGGATGTTCGTTTTCCGAGGAACGTTAAAAAACCGAAGCATTTACTTCCGGGTTTTCGACGTTTGGGAATCGAAACATTCGGCAATGGAGCGGTTTGAGAACTGAGGTTTGACTGGACAGTGGTACCTTGGTTTTCAAACTTAATCCGTTCCAGAGGTCTGTTCCAAAACCAAAGCATTCCAAAACCAAGGTGCGCTTTCCCATAGAAAGGAATGCAAAACGGATTAATCCGTTCCAGACTTTAAAAAATAATCCCTGAAACAGCAATTTAACATGGATTTTACTAGCATGGATTTTACTATCTAAAGAGACCATTGATCCATAAAATGAAAGCAATAATCAATGTACTGTACTATAAAATAAATAAGACAGTATTGTACTGTAGATGATAAAAATTCAAAAAATAATACCGTATTTTTCGCACCATAGGAGGCACTTTTTCCCTCCTAAAAAGCAAGGGAAAATGTGTGTGTGTCCTATGGAGCGAATGCAGGGGGGAGGCAGGCGGGAAAAGCCCCCAAGAGCCGCGCACAAGCTCCGTGCGCTCTTGCGGGCTTTTCCGAAGGAGGGAGAAGGGACTGACTGGCCGCATCAGTCCCTTCTCCTACCTCCCAGAAAAGCCAGGAGAAGCCGCGATCTCTTTAAAGGGGTTGCACAGCTTCTGCGGGCTTTTGCGAGAGGTGAGGGAATCCCCCCACCTCCCAGGAAAGCCAGAAGAAGCCGTGCAGCCCTTTTAAAGTGCGCACGGCTTCTGCCGGTTTTGCGGGAGGTGGGGGAATTCCCCCACTTCCCAGAAAAGCCAGGAGAAGCCGCAATCTCTTTAAAGGGGTTGCGCGGCTTTTGCGAGAGGTGAGGGAATCCCCTCACCTCCCAGTAAAGCCAGGAAAGCCCTGCGCAGTGTCTCCCGGCAAGGAGAGGCTGCACAGGGCTAAAGGGGAAGCCAAAACAGCGAGCGGGATCCATCCCGCCCCCTGCCTTGGCTTGCTCCATAGCTGTGCGCAACCCCTCCGGCAAGGAGAGGCTGCACGGGGCTATGGATTCTTTAGCCCTGCGCAGCGTCTCCCGGCAAGGAGAGGCTGCACGGGGCTAAAGGGGAAGCCAAAACAGCGAGCGGGATCCATCCCGCCCCCTGCCTTGGCGTCTTCCATAGCTGCGTGCAACCCCTCCGGCAGGGAGAGGTTGTGCGCAGCCTGTACGCTGCTCTTTGGGGCTGGGGGGGGGAGATTTTTTTTCTCGATTTCCCCCCCTAAAAACTGGGTGCGCCCTATGGTCCAGTGCGCCCTATGGTGCGAAAAATACGGTAATTCTTATCTGCACTGATGATACTCACTGTTTGGATGGGGGGCTTTTATCCATTTCTCAAGAGGCATGTCACACAATCAATCAGTCAATCAATCAATCAGTAGCTGAACTGGGTTCCACACAGTCACAAAAACAAATTAACCAAAAAAAGCCTCAAAAACAAAAACGCAAAATAAATAGCAAAAACAAAAGCACCAAATTTAATTTGTCCCGGAAGTCCATTTGACTTCCAAATGTTCGAAAACCAAGGCACAGCTTCTGATTGGTGCAGGTGCCCCGGAAACAATAGCTGACAACCACATTGAATGTTTGGCTTTTGAAAAACGTTCGAAAACTTCTGGGTTTTTGGCATTTAGGAACCAAGGCGTTTGAGTACCAAGGTACCACTGTATATAAAAAACAATACAGGGCTGCCTTCAGATAACTTCTCAAGGTTGTATAGTTATTTACCTCCTTGGCTTGGTGGTCACATAACTCCATACCCACCAACATTTCTCCAGTGAAAATAGGTAAGTCCTACGGAAAAGCGGGACATTCCGGGATCAAATCAGAAACTGGGGCAGCTTCTGTAAATCCAGGACTGTCTCTGGGTCTGCAGCTAAGTGTTTAATTTCAGATCAGTTTTTTAAACCTCCTTAAAAACTACTCATAGAGGCTGTCGGGCATGCTGGAGGCATGCACCATACAGTGGTACCTCTGGTTACGTACTTAATTCATTCCGGAGGTCCGTTCTTAACCTGAAACTGTTCTTAACCTGAAGCACCACTTTAGCTAATGGGGCCTCCTGCTGCTGCTGCGCCGCCAGAACATGATTTCTGTTCTCATCCTGAAGCAAAGTTCTTAACCCGAGGTATTATTTCTGGGTTAGCGGAGTCTGTAACCTGAAGCATATGTAACCCAAGGTACCACTGTATAAGAGTTTTTCAGCAAAGGTTAGTAAAAGAGAAAGGTCCCTTCCCCGCTGCTTTTTAAGAAGCAAGTATGGATAAATTCCCTTTTCTGTCTGATCAGTGAAGAAAAAAGGGCTCATTCTCCTCCACCCCTTCTTATTGCTATTGAAGGGAATAATAAGGTGAAGGGGCAGCAGAAGGCATTTTGCCCAGACCTGGTGGTGCCACTTTTGTCCTTGAAACTGTCTCAGATGAGTGATCTTGTTTTGCCTCTGTTAATCTAACTCTGCTTACAAGGTCAGTTATTTTAAACAACGTTCCAAACTAAGCAAAATAAATAATGGTGGTGTGTTTTTTTTTAAATGGTCAGACCCGAGGAATGGAAGAAGCTCGAAAAGTTGGGAGCTGGAGGACCCTGAGGAGGACCCTACCCCAGGATGGGAGAGGTAGAATCAGGACCCAGGTAAGTGCCTGATTCTGGGGACGGGTCCTGTGGCCTGGAGGATGGCGATCAGGATCCAAGGAGTGTGGTCCCTCCAACATTAGACAGCCCTACCCTAACACCTATTGCCATGGAGGTGCTCCAGTGCCTCTTCCTGCCAGTGAGGCACCTTCCCTTTGTGAGGTTACAGAGAGTAAGACTAATACTGGGCGAGCGCCGAGTCCACCTCTGTCTCTATGGAGATGACAACACCGTTGAAAACAAACCTTGTGGAGTTAACCCACTCAAAGGAGTGCCCGTTTACTTACCTGGTCTTGTGACTCCGGCCACTTACTGTGCAAATACAGTTGTGTCCACCTCAATCTTCTAAAGGAAGGTGCAGGGGCATGTTGATCGTTGTTTCAATGTCTTAGCATGCACTGAACCTCTTCTGTACCTGCTGAACCATATACTCTGTTGTTTGCCTTATGTACCAATCTGATTTGAGCATTAAAGCCTTTGGCAGAACTACAGCTGGGAGCTGAGAGTTCTACATCCAGTAGTGAGGGCCAGGGCAGTTTGAATTTCCAAGCTCACCATCATTTTGATGGGTTCTCTTTCAGCCACACGGACATTCTGGAATGCTGAGCCCAGGATTAGAGAAGCAGTAGAATATTCAGAACCAACAGTTACTGGCAGTTACTCAAAACTTCCTCTGTGGATTACTTACTTAGTCCACTTATATCCCATCTTTCTTGCATCACAGAATTAAAGATAGCATATGTATGGGTTCACCAGGCAGTCTCCTATTCATGTGCTGATTGATGCAGACCCCCTTAGCTTTAGCAAGATAGATTGGGTTGTACTAAAGCTGTGGGACAAATTCTGAATATTTCTTTTGAACAGTTCCTCCGAATCTTCATCTGATAAAAATGAGGACATTTTGGACTCTTTAAGACTCCTTTTTAAAGTAGTCTGAAATATCAGTTCAATAAAGTACTGAAAAGTTTTAAATAGACTAGTCAATTTCCAGTTCTTCCTTGGGGTGGGGGTGGGGCTTTCCTATACTTTTTCTACTCTCCTCAATTAGCAGTCAGGCTGAACTAAATCACACTAATTAATTCCCACTCATAACCAGTTTCTCACACTCCACACATTACTTTCCCTGTTGTCTTGTTTGCTTACCTCATTTCCCATCTTCTGTAGCTCCATTGTATGTATTATATAGTATTAGATATTTGTCTATCCCCAAGGCTCTGAACACTTTGTACCTGAAGGTGGACTATTTGCAACTTCCTTCTATGTCTTTGGTCACGTGCTGGAGGTCACCTGGACAGACCTGCAAATTCAGTCACAACTTGGCACATC